CTGGAAAAGTGTTCTAGGCATAGGGAATGGCAAAAGGGCGTGTATTTGATATGTTTGAGGCATAGCAGAGGAGGCTGGTGTGGATGGAGCAGAGTGAGCCAGGGGAAGGGTAATAGGAGATGAGGTCAGGGAGGTAGCCAGCAAACACATCAAGCAGATAGGACTTGTAAGGCTGGATTTTATTCTGAGTGATATGGGGAGACAAATGCCTTGCTCTGACTGACCCTTTAAATGCCTTCATTTGATTGCTGGGTAGAGACTAGAACCAGTGATGGTGAACCTTTTGAGCTCGGCGTGTCAGCATTTTGAAAAACCCTAACTTAACTCTGGTGCCGTGTCACATATAGAAATTTTTTGATATTTGCAACCATAGTAAAACAAAGACTTATATTTTTGATATTTATTTTATATATTTAAATGCCATTTAACAAAGAAAAATCAACCAAAAAAATGAGTTCGCGTGTCACCTCTGACACGCGTGTCATAGGTTCGCCATCACTGGACTAGACTGTAGGGAGGAAAGAGTGACAGCAGTGCCCAGGAGGACAGGTAGGAAGCTATTAAAGGAAACCATTTGATAGAGAAAAGTGTGGCCTGGACCAAAGTGGTGGAGGAGGAGGGGTGAAGAGGTCAGATTTAGAACTAGTTGAAGGTTAAAAACATACGGCTGATGATTGGATGAGGAGTATGAAGTATATCACAATTACAATGTTGTATTTCCAAACTTCTTAAATATTATGAATATATGCAAAGACAGAACTATATTTGCCTTTGATGTTTCTTCATTCCAGGAAACCCAAAGATCAAGGAAAGCATTTAAGCCCTCTCTGCCTTTAGTAAGTGAACATGAATAGGCTCAGGAGACATCTCTTGAAGCTGTTAAACAATTATTCCTACTTTGTTCCTAGAAGGTTATAATACCCAGTTAATGTTTCCTTGTTATATAGTGACCCCTGTCTGCAGCAATGCTGTGTATAATAAGCTATCAAGATGTTGGTGTAGCATAGGAAAACCAGTATTCAACTTGGAATCAGATGTGGGTTTGAGTCTCAGTTCTCTTAAGAGCAAAGTCTACCCGCTTAACTCTTTGAGTTTTTTTAATCTGGAAAATGGCAATGACTTCAACTAATTCAAAGAAGACAATGCTTGTGACATTCTCTATACTATAGTATAAGCTTACCAAGATTTTGAAGTCTAGTACAAATTGTAAGTCTTCATGTTATAATCAGCTGGGTGATATAAACCAAAGACTCACCATATTTTTTAAATTAAAATAAAAATGTGAAGCTTTTGCTTATTTAAAAAATAGCTTTTTTAATTTTTTTTTTTGCTTTTTTTTTGTGGCTGTGAAACTTGGGAGATCTGGCCGGGCCAAGGACATCAGATCTCATTGTCTTCCCAGCACATCAATCCTCCCCTGAAGGCCCTCAATAAAACAGATTGATCCTAAAAATAATAATAAAAATAAGTAAATAAATAAATAAATAAATAAATAAATAATACTGTATTCTCTTATTTAAAAATCTGCATTCTGATATAAAAATTAAAGTACAGAAGTGTGGAAAGTTAAGTCTTCAAGAGTCTCACCTCCCCGCCCTCCCTCCATAGCCACTCCCTCTAGTTTGCTCTTTACCCATCCAGAACCTGTACTGTATATTAAAAGTATTTTATACAAACAGAAGCATATCATCCATAAATGCCTTTTCACATTAAAAACTTAGGTATTGTGGACCATTTTCCACGCTAATAGATTTATATCTACACGGTTTTTTTTAAGGCTGACATCAATGCTTCTCAGGCCTGTCTGCATATTAGAGTTACTTGGGGAACTTAAAAACAATAAAACACCATTGCTCGAAACACACCTAGACCAATGGATCAGCATCTCAGAAGGAGGGACCCTACACCATTTTTTAAGTATCTTCTGAGATAATTCTAATGTTCAAACAGGATTAAGACCCATATGTCTAAATAGTATTCTATATTGTATAAACCATAGTATATTGAACCAATTCTGATTTCAGAGAGAGAAAAGGAGAGAGAGAGAGAGAGAGAGCAAAGGAAACATTGATCAACCATTGAGCCACACTGGCTGCGCTAACCAATACTGTTTTGATGGATATTTAGGTTGCGAAGTATATCCACATACCTGGATATTTGCATATTGTCTATTTACTATGCTTGTGAATAGATATACTTAATTCACTTTTTATAAAGAAATTAGTTTTGATTAATAGCTCAGACGGAAAGTCATTGGATTAAACTAGGTTTTAAGTATAATAAAAGCCCATTATTAAAAACACCTTAATACTTAAAATTGTTCTACACAAGGACTGGCTACGTAATTTGTAATGCCCATGCGAAATGAAAATGTGGGGTCCTTGTTCAAAAATTATAAAAAATTTCAAGATGCACAGCAGAGCATTCACCAAGCATAGGGCTCTTCTAAGTGCAAGTCACATGCCTATGAAACCAGTTTTGTTTCTACAATAGGTATGTTGGGATATTTGGTCATGAAGGCTGAAGGAAAGATTTTTATCATAGTAAGTGGTTGCACATTAACTTCTTTTCCAATTAAAAAGTTATGTAATTCTTAGTAACTCCTTTGTACACAATAGTACATGCTTTACTCTTTTAAAAAAATATTTGTATTGATGATTTTTAGAAAGAGGGGAAGGGAGAAGGAGAGAGAGAGAAAGAAACATTGATGCGATGCTAGGGAAACATTAATCCCCTGCCTCCTGCAGGCTCCTTGCTGGGGATCAAGCCCACAACAGGGGCATGTGCCATGACCAGGAATAGAACTGACAACCTTTTGGTGCATGGGACAATGGCCAACCAACTCAACCACACTGGCCAAAGTATGCTTTACTCTTTACACTGCATGAACCAGTTATTACTATTGACTGTTGATAGCATTGCAAATGATTTTTAACTATGAATATAGAATGAACTTTATTGTACTTGATGCCTGGGAAAACAATAAGTGTTTCTCTGGCTCCACTAACTCTAATCATATCTATCCACTTTATTCTTAGAGAAAGAATAAACAAAAGACAGAAAGCATAGGAAGGTAGACTGAGGACCTAAGTCTCTTAACATCTTACTCAGAAATTGAGAGTTCTCTGAATGAAAATTAATTTTATAATGATTCATATATTTTTTCGTCTCTAAATTTCTATGGTATAGGCCTTGCACTTTATTATACTAAAATATACAAACTCAAGAGAGAAAAACTGGCTGCTGTATTGACTCAGCTTAATTCTAATGGCCACCATTTATATTACACCTTCTGAAATATAACTCAATCACAGTGGTCCTGAGGAAGATATTATTGTTTCTATTTTCTTTGAAATTGAAGCTCAGGGATGTTAGGTGGACTTGCCCAAGCTCACAAAAAAAGCAGAGCCTGGGTTCAAACTCCATATTCATCTGTTAAAACACCATACTTTTCATCTTAAAAATAGAAGAGAAGGTAAAACACTATGTGAACATAGAGGCAGAGATTGGAGTGATGTGTCTACAAGCCAAGGAATGCCATGGATTGCCAACAATCACCAGAAGCTAAGAGAGGGGCATAGACAGATTCTCCCTCTGAACTTCCAGAAGGAACCACCAACCCAGCCTATGCCTGGATTTTGAAGTTCTAGTCTCTAGAACTGTGAGAGTATAAATCTCTGTTGTTTTAAGTCACCTAGTTTGTATTATTTGTTACAGCGGCTCTAGAAAACTAATACATCTAATACTTCTGCTTTGGAACAATAATGGATAGTAAGAGGCCAAAAGAGATGAGAATGGTGATTATTACAAATACTTCTCCCTGCCCTAGCTAATTTGGCTCACTGGATAGAGCGTTGGCCAGAGGACTGAAGGGTCCCAGTTGCTATCCTCCTCCGGTGAGGATTAACAAAACACACACGTTAACAAATACTTGTCCCTATCATGCTATTCCCCCCACCCCCACCTCAACCCCACTCCCATCACATACTGATTGATGCCCATGCGCACTGAATGCTCATAGATAGGATACCCTGGGACACCAGCATACTTCTGCTCCACCAGTTACATGCTTACCAAGAGTCAGTTGTGTTTGTTCCATGTTGTTCTTATTATAATTTTGTACTTTGATTAAATATTATACATACCAGCTGAAAAAAATAGGGAATAATTTTTATTAAGGGTTGTATGTTAATTCATCCTAGGGTAAAAAACAAACAAACAAAAAACTAATGAAAAAGAATGACCATTATATTCTAAGTCCTGATGAATACTGAAATTTTGTAATTCTAAACTCATCTACAAACGAACTAACCAAATCACTGAAAACAGTTACATCCAATGAGGACATAACACTCATTGTAGGCCAATATTGTACCCAGATGTTTGTCTATATTAACTTTATTAGGCCCACACAGCCTAGAAATGGGGAAACCAAGTTTTAAAGTCAAGTATCCTTTTAACTATCAGATACTGCCTCTCCCCTTGGAATGTGTCCATTGCACTAGCTGAACACATTCTTTAATGCAAGAACCTGTAGAAAAGCAGCCATTGCAAATGAGCAGGGCTCTAGGGTAGACCCGGGCCATATGAGGTCCCACCCAGACCACACCTGCCCTCTGTGAGCGACATTTCTCCATCACCTTATGATCATTATTTGCAATTGTCTTTGGACTGCCTGCTTCGATATATCTTTTAAGCGTTTTGCTTCCTTTTCATGACTTTTTTTTTCTCTTTTCTGTGGTGCACTTTTGACTCTGGCGCTGACTTCCCAGGCCCACGTGTATCCTGTTTATGCACCCAGGGGCGGGGCAAAGCGGGCGAGCATGCGCGGTAGCGGCCTCAGGCCTGCTCCCTGACCAACAGGATCGCGCTTGTCCTGCCCGAGCATGCGCGGTAGCGGCCTCAGACCCGCCCCCTGACCAACGGGATCGCGCTTGTCCTGCCCGAGCATGCGCGGTAGCGGCCTCAGGCCCGCCCCCAAGAGCGGGGTCGCGCTTGGCCTGCCCGGCTTGCCGTCTCCGCAGCCATGGCGGCCGCGTCGCTCCCCGCGTGGCGGCGCCTGCAGCCGGGGGCCAGGACCCTGCGTGCCTTCTCCACTGCAGCGTCTCCCACCACTCTCCCCGGGAACCCACGCCCGAGTGAGTGTCTGCCGCGTCGCCTCCGGGCTCTGGGGGAGGTGAGGGCGGAATATCGGATCCCTGGAGGCCGCCGCGGTGGAACCTGCGCCGCCCCGGGGAGGCCGGGGTGTCCCTGGCCCTGCCGCCTGGCGGGAAAGCCCTGCCTGTGGGTCTGCCCGCCGCCCGGGTGTCGCCCCGTTCCTAGCCGCGGATTGCTGCGCTGGGGCCTCTGCGCGCCACCAGCCTGCCCCGCCCTCCCGAGGACTCGCGCTTCGGTGCCGGTCTCGCGGTCGCCGGCACGGGTCTCTCTAGTGAGGGTGCTCGGCAGCGTTTCCAGGGGGTGCTGAACCTCGGTTTTCTCGAGTGTTAAGGGAAACATATAGCTGCCCCGGGACAAACTGCAGTTCTGAATCCAGGCCTCGCCATGCCGCCAAATGGGATGACCTTCATTCACAGCCTTGGAGGTGACCTTCGCTCAGAGAGAGCAGGGGTGCCTGGCGCCGCGCCCGCCCTGGAGGAATCAGTGAAAAGGAATCGAGGACCTTTGTGAACGCTGACTGCTCAGTGTGAGGTGCCTAACAAGAAGCGAGAATGGGGTTCTGTAGGAGCATCGTGGCGGAGCCCGCGGGAGGGGAGGACAGCTCTGTCCAGTTACACCAGGTGCTACCCGTGCTGCCTCCTGGAAGATCTGACCTTCACCCTGCTCACAGCCCCGCCGAGGCCACCATCTCTCGCTTCTGCAACAGTTGCTTTACCATTTCCGCAGTTGCTCCCTGCATTGCATTCTCACAACGGCCAGAGTGAGGTGTTCAAATAGCAAATCTTATCTTGCCACTCCCTTATTCAAAATCTACAAGCAGTCCTCATTGCTTTAAGATAAGTGATAAATTCCTCAATGTATTATATTGGCCCTTAATAGTCTTAACATGCTTTTTAAAAAAATATATGTTACTGATATTTTACAGAGAGGAAGGGAGAGGGATAGAGAGAAACATCGGTGAGAGAGAAACATCGATCAGCTGCCTCCTGCACACCCCGCACGGGGGATGTGCCCGCAACCCAGGTACATGCCCTTGATGGGAATCGAACCTGGGACCCTTCAGTCCGCAGGAGGACGCTCTGTCCACTAAGCCAGACTGGTTAGGGCTTAACACATCTTTTTAATTTTTCATTCATTCTGTAAATACTTGATTCCTACTGTGTGCTAGGCGATACTCTAGATACCAGAATAGAGCAAAAGTCCTTTACCTCTTGAAGTTTACATACATTGAGGGAAGTCAGACTATAAATAGATAAACAATGTCAGCACCATGTAAGGTAGTGATTAGTGCTTTGAAGAAAAATAAAGCAAGCCCTAACTGGTTTGGCTCAGTGGATAGAGCGTCTTCCTGCAGACTGAAGGGTCCCAGGTTCAATTCCGATCAAGGGCATGTACCTTGGTTGCGGGCACATCCCCAGTAGGAGATGTGCAGGAGGCAGCTGATCGATGTTTCTCTCTCATCGATGTTTCTAACTCTCTATTCCTCTCCCTTCCTCTCTGTAAAAATCAATAAAATACATATAAAAAAATAAAGCAGGATGTTGGGAATGATGAATTGGAGGAGTAGTGACTATAGGGTTGGATAAGATAGATTGTCTGGAAAGACGTCCCCTGCTTGGGGAAGTGACATTTGAGCAGAGCCCAGAACCATGCTGAGGTGGGGAAAGAGCATTGTTGGAGTTGGGAATTGCTAGTGCAGAGGCCCAGGGTGAGAATAAGCTTATGGGTGTGGTCAGGGAACAGAGAAAAGGCCAGCGCGGCTGGAGCTAAGTGAGCAAAGAGGAGAGTTCTAGTGTAAGAAAGGTGAGTGACGGCCTGATCTTGTAACGGCTTATGGGCATTTGGCTTGACTTGTATTTTAAGTTGGGGTCACACTGGAAGATGTTAAGCAGGGCAGTGATGCTGTGTGGAGAGCCGACTTCAGGAGGGAAAGAGTGGAACTCAGCAGACCAGTTTGGAAGTTGCTGTAGTGCAAATGAGATGATGGTGATTTGGGTTGAGGTAATTGTGGAGTAGGCTGTTATGGTTGAATTTGGGACACATTTTGATGGTAGAGCTAATGAGACTTAATGGTGGATTTGAAATGGGGCTTGAGGAACAGTCTCCAGGAAGCATGTTAGATTTTTGTCCTGAATAATGGGATGAATGGCAATACCATGTACAGGGATTGGGAAGACTGAAGAAGAAAATCTAGAGCTCTGCCAATGACGTGTTGTATCTGAGATGTGCATCAAATATCTCCAGTCTCTTTTCTCAGTGCACTCTCTGTTCTTCTCTGAAGTTTCCACCATATTAAATTCATTTACTTTGATTTTTCCATCTTCTCTTTCTCTAGAACACTTTTTCTCACTTGCCGGTTCCCAGGGCTGCCTCCTGTTCATCCTTGACGTTTAGCTTAAAGTCAACTTCTTCAGGGAACTTCTTCTTCCCCAACTATTTGACTAGGTTTGGTCCCCTGCTGTATGTTTCCATTAATATTTATCATTGTTTATTTATTGAAATTACTTATGAAATAGTTGTCTTATTTTGACAGACTCTCCATTTTGTGGGAGTAAGAACTTTGTTTCTCTTGTTCTTTGCTGCCTTCTTAATTTCTAGTACCCAATATCACTCTAAAACTTTTGAAGGGATGAGGGATATATACCACTGAGGGATGAATAAGAATTTTACATGAACTGAGGTGGGGAGGCCGAAGGGGACAGAAGTCAAGCAGATGGGAGGGAAGCATATTCCAGGCAGAGAACATAAAGTTCAGAAAGACTGAAGGGAAGTTCAGTGTAGTTTTGGGGCCTTGTGAAGGGGAATGAGGCTAGAGGTGTGAAGAAAGTGATGTGAGGTTCAGAGTCTGAAGAGTCTTGTGAGCTGTGCTACTCTCACAACTCTTGGTCTTTAGTTTTCTTGGCCGTAAATGACTTCTAGATAAGGATAGTGATAGTACTCACAGTTCTTGTGAAGAATAACATTAAATAAGGTAATGAAAAGCATTTAGCACAGCATCTAGCATGTGCAAGTGCTCAATAAATAAAGCTATTATTATTTTAGAATAGCAAAAACAGTTATTTAGAGAGGCATACAATAATATTTTAAAAGGTATATATTGTATATAAGTAATCTGCCCTCTTCTACAGTTATGTGATTTATTAGGAATGGCTGTGATTTTTGTTATTGTAGCATTGGCAGTTCTAATATGTAATAGAAAAGGAAAAATTTAACAATTTTCTTTTTTTGTTGTTGTTGTTGGTAGAAAGACCAGAATAATTCCAAATATGAGCAGGTATACTTAAAACTAGAACCTTTCAAACCATTTATCTTTAAAGGCACAAAGTACTTATTTCTATCTAGATATTTTAACTTGAGGAAGTGAGTTTATTTGACTATGAACCTTAGAATTAATTGAAAGTTTTTCTTTATATGATGATTTCATTTTATATCTTAATAACTGGAATTTTCTTAACTATTTCTGACATTTCATTTTCATTAAGATGATTTTAGTCTCAGCTTACAGAAAATGGGTTATTGTTTCTTTGTTTGTTACTGAATACTTTAAATTGTATTCAGATCATAGGATCACGATCAGTTGAATAAATCCATGTTATAAAATTCTCTAACTATTGTGTTGTCTTTTAGGTACAACAGAAAGAACATCCAGGTTTGACAGGCCACCAAGAAGAAAGGTGAACAATTAACATACTCTAATATATGTTATCTTAATGGTTTCTGAAGTTCTAAAGTGAGGAAGGTATTCACAATGAGGCAGGAGGGTACATCCCAAGAAAGGTACATAAGAGGGTGTTCACTTGGTGACTATCACAATCTTGACTCTAATCTTGGTCTGGTCTTTGTCAGTATCCTGAGAATGGATCATCTTTGAGAGATGGACTCACCCACGTATTCCCAGGAAATAGGTACCTAAACCAGAATATAGAATTACTTTTGATGATGCTTGTAACAGTCTTGTAGCCTGGGATATATGCATGAATATTAGTAGTTTGTTCTGTGGGCATCTCTGTGAAGGAATCCAAATTATAAAGTCAGTTGGCATGGAGTCAAAACAAAGGTATATTAGTTGGACATTAAATGGCATCAAATTATAATTGTCTAGAGTAGTCATTTTCATAGGCATATTACCTGCTTCAGGACATGCTACACTAGTATTGCTTAGGTAGGTGTTGCCAAATTTTGCCTCTTTAAACCATATGCTGGTCATCCCCTTCTGTTGAGTATATTATATACTAGAGGCTCAGTGCACAAAATTTGTACACGGGTAGGGTCCCTAGCGGCTGCCAGCCAGGGCCTGCCTGTGTTCCGTGCCGTCCCCTAGTGATCAGCGCACGTCATAGCGAACAATTGAACTCCAACTCCCGGTCAGTCAAACTCCCGAAGGGACACTTTGCATATTAGGTCATATATATATAGAGAGAGAGAGAGAGAGAGATTGTGATTAACTAAGCTACCATGTAGTTATTCCCTGGGCCTAGAAGGTATATAATTTCTTATGTATTTATTCAGTTAGTTTAACCTTAATTTACTTATTTCCAAGTTCTCAATGTCACCTCATTCTGACTTCCATGAAAGGAGTTTTAAAAATTATTTCAAAATATATTGTTATTCACCTCCTTCATAAATAAAATGTAAAAACTTTGCTAAAAGTCTGTGTAAATAAATAAGATAGATATGCTTTTAGTGATGGAAGTTGTATTAAAGGGGACATCCCTCGTGCCCCAGAGGGTTTGAGGAAACAGTACAGAAATATTTAGGTAGATTTGTTATTTTTTCATTTGAGCAGCAGCAACTTTGTGGGAGGTCAGATTTTACCTAGGTTGCAATTCTGCTAGTGTTTTTCTTAATTGCATGTTTTCTTTTGCTTTAAAATTAAAATGCATATTTATATTTAAAATATTAAACTGTTTTTTATTTCTTAGGCACTACCTCCTAGGACAGAGAAAATGGCTGTTGACCAGGATTGGCCTAGTGTCTACCCCGTTGCAGCACCATTTAAACCCTCTGCAGTACCTCTTCCTGTTCGAATGGGTTACCCAGTAAAAATGGGGGTGCCCATGGCAAAGGAGGGAAATTTAGAACTTTTAAAGGTAAGATAAGTTACTGATTCATTAGCTAAGACCTCTGTTCAAATAAATAGTGATCCTCCTCCCACTGCCCTTATACCTCTTATATTTCAAAGTTAAGTGTATAGCAGCTTCTTATGGGTATTTTTATTTTTAAAAAATATGTTTTTATTGATTTTAGAGAGAGAAGAAGGGAGAGGGAGAGAGATAGAAGCATTGATGAGAGAGGAACTTCAGCCTCCCACTGGGGATCAAGCCTACCACCTGGGCATGTGCCCTGACCGGGAATCAAACCAGTGATGCATGGGTCAACTCTCAACCACTGAGCCCCACCAACTGGGCTTGTGTTTGATTTAAAATTTTTTCTCAGGTAATAATAGATGCTATATTTTGATTTTCTGTGGTAAAAAAAAAAAACCCTCAAAAGAATCCTAGGCATTTAAGGATGTAACTGCCCTAGCTGGTTTGGCTCAGTAGATAGAGTGTCAGCCCATAGACTGAAGGATCCTGGGTTCATTTCTGGTCAAGGGTGCGCACCTCAGTTGCAGGCTGCAGACTGGATCCTTGGCCCCAGGTTAGGGTGGGTACGGGAGGCAACCGATGGATGTGTCTCTCTCACATTGATGTTTTACTCTCTCTGTCTCTCCCCCTCCCTTCCATTCCCTTTGGCCGGGACTGATTGGGTGCAAGCCTGCGGCAGGCACAGTGGGACCAGCATGAGTGGGAATGGCAGGCAATGTTGGACTGTGGGTTTCGGCCCAATCCCTGCAGGCCACCCAGAGGGACCCCACCCGTGCACCGGGCCTCTAGTGATTAAATAATAATCTGTGTCCTTTCAGTTCTGTAAGGGAAATATGTACACCTGTAGATTCATAACAGGAAGAGTACTATACAAATAATGCTAATTTTTTTGAATGTTGTCATTTTAAAATACTTGGTACTGAATTTATATTTCAAGGAAATTTTTTTGTTATTGTTGGTTAATCTTCACCTGAGGATGCTTTTTCCATTGATTTTTAGAGAGTGGAAGGGAGGGGGAGAGATAGAGAGAAACATCAATGTGAGACACCTCTGTTGGTTCTCTTGCATGTGCTCTGACCTGGGCCGGGGATTGAACCTGCAATGGAGGTATGTGCCCTTGACCAGAATTGAATCCGAGATCCTTCAGTCCACAGGCCAACACTCTAACCACTGAGCAAAACTGGCTAAGCAGGAATTTATTTCTTGAATTCACAACACCTGTGACAATACTGTAAGAAACTGCCTCATTTTATTTATGATAAGGCTTGTTGAGCTTATAATTTAGTTGTATGAGCAAATTATCTTTTTTCATGTTTTTAAGACAGTTGGCTGATTTATCCTTTAAATTTTCTACTTTAGATCCCCAATTTTTTGCATTTGACTCCTGTAGCAATTAAAAAGCATTGTGAAGCTCTTAAAGGTAAGTGGTTATTTTGTAACATAATTGACTTTGAACACAATATTAAGAATCAGATTTCTAATGATAAAGGGATTGATTCATCAAAAGGATACAATGTTTGTAAATATTTATGCACCCAACATTGGAGCTCCTAAATATATAAAGCAATATTAACAGAATTGAAGGGAGAAATAGACAGCAATACAATAATAGTAGGAGACTTCACTACCCTACTTTCAACAATAGATAGGTCATCCAGACAGAAGAAAATAAGGAAATGTTGGACTTAAACTACACATTAGATCAGGTGGACTTAACATTTAAGGACTACACCATTCAACAGCAGCTGAATACACTTTCTCCTCAAATGCACATGAAAAATTCTTCAGAATAGATCATGTTAGGTCACAAAGCAAGTCTTAATAACTTAAGAAGACTGAAATCATATCAAGCAACTTCTCTGACCATAGTGGTATGAAACTAGAAATCAATTACAAGAAGAAAACTGGAAAATTCACAACTACATGGAGATTAAACAACATGCCCTGAACAAGCAGTGGGTCAAAGAAGAAAGCAAAAGAGAAATGAAAAAATATCTTGAGATAAATGAAAATGGAAACACAACATACCAAGCCTTTTGAGACTTAGCAAAAGCAGTTAGTTGTAAGAGGGAAGTTTATAGCAATAAATGCCTAGATTAAGAAACAAGAAAGGTCTCAAATAACCTAACTTTACACCTTAAGGAACTAGAAAGACAAACTAAGCCCAAAGTTAGTAGAAGAAAGGAAATAACAAAGATCAGAGTGGAAATAAATGAAATAGAGACTAAAAAAAAAAAAAAACAATAGAAAAGATAAATGAAACTAAAGCTGGTTTTTTGAAAAGATAAACAAAATACGCAAGCCATAAGCTAGACCAGCAGTGGGCAAACTACGGCCTGCGGGCCGTATCTGGCCCGTTTGGCTGTTCTATCTGGCCCGCGGAGCCGAAAGAGCGGAGGGTTCTCTTGCTCTCCCCTCCACTCCTTCACCAGCAGCAGTGTTAACACATTGTTTGTGGGTAGTTTTTATCGCGCGCTAACAGGTGGCGCGGGCCATTTTTGCTAATTTTTTGCGCAAATGGTAACGTTCAGTAAAATTACGATAACTTTAGTTTACGTATTTATACGTTACCCGCATTCTACCGCTAGTCTATAAAAAACGTATCAATACGTGTCCCGCGCTCTACTACACTGGTAGAACATATAAATACGTAAAACGTGTAAACATGTTTCCCACATACAATGTGTTCACATGGCAACATCGGGAAACACGGCCGCAGCTCCTTCTTCTAAATCCAGTTTAAGAACCCATTGTGGCCCTCAAGTCAAAAAGTTTGCCCACCCCTGAGCTAGACTCACCAAAAACAAAAGAGAGAGGACTCAAATAAAACCTAATAATACACAAACATGCAAATTGATCGTACCTTCGCTATGCCTACCAGCCAATCGGATAAGTATGCAAATTAACCAAACAAAGATGGCGGTTAATTTGCATATGTAGGTGCCCAGCTGCAATCGGAGCTAGGGGTCCCCTGCCCAGGCCTAATACCTTGAGGAGTTAGTTAGGCCTGGGCAGGGGCGGAGCCAGCGATGGCGGGGAGCAAGGGCGGAGTCGGTGATCACGGGACACTGGGGGTCCCCTGCCAGGGCCTGATGCCTCAGCCACAGGCATTAGGCCTGGGCAGGGGTGGAGCTGGCGATGGCGGGGGGCAGGGGCAGAGATTAAACTTAGGAATAAGTTTAATCAAGGAAGTGAAAGATCTATGCACCAAGGTGAAAGAAACTGAAGAAGACACAAATAAATGGGAAGATAGTCTGTGCTCATGGATTGGAAGAACTAATATTGTTAAAATGCCCATAGTGCCTATATAGCTTCAGTGTAATTCCTATAAAAATTCCAATGGCATTTTTCACAGAAGTAGAAATAAACAATACTAAAATTTGTGTGGAACCATAAAAGAACCTGAATAACCAAAACAACCTTAAGAACAATGATTTCAAATTGTATTACAAAGTTGTCATAATTAAAACAGTATGTTTGTTACTGGTATAAAACAGATCATTGGAACAGAATGAAGAGCCCAGAAATAAACCCACTCATGTATGGTCAATTAAGTTTTATGACAAAGGGGCCAAGAATATACAATGGGAAAAGGATAGTCTCTTCAATAAATGATGTTAAGAAAACTGGGTAGCTACATAAAGGAGTAAAACTGGACCCCTATCTTACACCTAACAAGAAAATCAACTCAAAATGAATTGAAGACTTGAATGTAACACCTGAAACTAAGCTCCTAGAAGAAAATGGGTTTGTGGGGGAGGAGGCAGGGTAAGCTCCTTGATACTGTTTTTGGCAATTTTTTTGGATTTGACACTGAAAGCAAAGGCCAAAAAAAGCAAAAATAAACAAATGAGACTACATCAAATTATAAAGCTCCTGCAAAGCAAAGACCATCAACAAAATGAAAACGCAGCCTACAAATTGGGAGGAAATATTTGCAAATCATATATCTGATAAGGGATTAATATACCCAAAATATATAGGGAGCTCATACAACTCAGCAAAAAACAAATAACTCAATTTAAAAATGGACAGAGGAACTAAATAGACGTTTTTCAAAAAGGAGGTACAAATGTTTGAAGTTACATGAAAAGGTGTTTAGCATCACTAATCATCAGGGAAATGCAAATCAAAATACTATGACTTAGCACCTCATACCTGTTGGAATGACTATGAGCAAAAAGACAAAAGAGAGTTTAGTGTTGGTGAGGGAATTATTTTGTCCTGGTGGTGGGAATGTAACTTGGTGCAGTGTCTATGCCAAACAGTATGGAAGTTTCTCAAGGAATTAAAAATTGAACTATCACACGATTCAGCTACCACACTTCTGGGATTTATTTGAAGGAAATGAAATCACTATCTCAAAGAGATGTCTGCACACCCAGATGCAATGTAGCATTATTCACAAGAGCCAAGATAGAGAAACAACCTAAGTGTCCATCACTCGATGAATGGTTAAAGAATAAAATATATATATTGGAATATTATTCAACTGTGAGAAAGAAGGGCATTCTGTCCTTAGTGACAACATGGATGGGCCTTGAGGGCATTATGCTTTGTGAAATAAGTCAGACAGGAAAAGACAAATACTGTATAATATCACATGTGTAATTTCTAGAATGGTGGTTTCTATGGGCTGCGGGGCCTAGGGGTTAGAGGGAAAAGGCAGATACTGTTCAAAGGGTACAGTTTTCCAGTTATAAAATGAATAAGTTTTGGGAATCTAATATACCGCATGGTGATTATAGTTAATAATACTGTATTATATTCCTGAAATTTGCTAAGGGAGTAAATCTTAAATGTCCTTACCACAAAAAAGAAATGGTAATTATATGATGTACTACAGGTGTTTCCAAAGCTATGGTGGTAATCATATTATAATATATAAGTATATCAAATCAACATATATGTATGTATTCTCTGTGTATATATTATGTATACTCTATATAGTAGGTGTATATACTAGTATATATAATGCATTACCTGAATATGATTATACTTCCAATTCTGGATTTATTGATTTTGAGCAATAACTATTGATTCCTAGATATCAATCTAGATTTTACTCGTATCCTCCACATGCATGGAGCTAGGGACAAAGACCATTTTTTTGCTCATGGTTTTATGTATGCTCTCAAAATAAGTACATATTCCAATTTAATTTCTGATCTCATTTGCATTGGACTATCTAGAATAAGCAAATTTGAATTGTTTTACACGACTATTAGTGATTGAATGTGTAGTTTAAGAGTTAGTACCTTTGTGCCCTAGCTGGTTTGGCTCAGTGGATAGAGCATCAGCCTAAGGATTGAAGGGCCCTGGTTCGATTCCAGTGAAGAGCACATGCCTGGGTTGTGGGCTGGATCCCCAGTAGGAGGTGTGCACGAGGCAGCCGATCAATGATTCTCTCTCATCATAGATGTTTCTCTTTCTCCCTCTTCCTTCTTCTCTGAAATCAATAAAAATATATATTTTTTAAAAAAGGGTATTAGGAAGAAGAGATAAAGAGGTCTTGAAAAGTAGGAGTAATTATCTTACTCTTGAAGTGAGGGAAGAAAGAAAATCTCTTCTATCTCCTCTCATTTATGTAGTGTTCTGTTTTGGGACATTAGAGTGCTTTTCAATCCCTTTAGGTTATATGTTTCTGTATCCATTAGTGCCTGGTATTAGACTGACACTTACAAATTTGTGTTCACTGGAACAAATCATATATCACTTTTTGAATCCTTTGTAAATCCAGGTGACAAATGCATTACACTGATAAATTGCATTTTTTAAACACTATTTTTAAGTGTGCATTTATAATCTGGACACTGATCATTGTAATGAGATATTTCTAAAGTGCTTTATAGTTTTTAAATGTAAGGCTTTTATACAGCACATTCGGAAGAGTAGCATTATATTTTACAGTGCTTTTGAGTGTTTTAATCTTTCCTTAATTTTGCCTTTACACTTCTGCCAGCTTCTGGATGTAGATTGTATCTTCTAAATAACTCAAAGGGTTTTCAAATATTTCTTCTTAGTTTTCTTTCAAAGTAGGTCAGTTTAGATTTTATATCTAAGTTGCAGATGGAAAATCTGAAGTACAGGAAAGTTAGGTAATTTACCAAAGTTTTAATAATCAGTGGCAGAAGTTAAGTAAAAAACCAAGGTTTTCTGAAGTCTAGTCATTACTCTACCTATCAGATGAATAAAGGCTAATAGAGGCCTATTAGGTACTTTCCAGTTGGCTGCATTCTTTTAAACATGTAATCAGGTCATTTAATATAAAGGCTGTAATTATCATCTGGTGATTGAAATGACTTATTCAGAGTTTTAAAAAAAAGATTCAGTACAAACTCAGAAACTCATAAAATTCCCCAAACAGTCTCTCTTATTAAGTACTTGCTTGGCATTGTTGCTCTTACAGTGTGGGATGTTGGAATTAGTCCATGATAGAAATGAAATTACCTCAGTAATCTTATTCATTTTGTTTAAATGTCAAATTGTTCTTTACTTTTTTTAATCCTCACCCGAGGATATTTTTTCATTGATTTTTAGATAGAGTGGAAGGGAGAGGGAGAGACAGAGAGAAACACCAATGTTAGAGAGACATCGATTGATTGCCTCCCGCATGCCCCCAACCAGGGCCGGGAGCCTGCAACCGAGGTACATGCCCTTGACCGGAATCAAACCTGGTACCCTTCAGTCTGCAGACTGACACTCACCACTGAGTCAAACCAGCTAGGGCTCAAATTGTTCTTCTTCTTTTTTTTTAAGTATATTTTATGGATTTTTTACAGAGAGGAAGGGTGAGTGATAGAGAGTTAGAAACATCGATGAGAGAGAAACATCGATCACCTGCCTCCTGCACACCTCCTACTGGGGATGTGCCTGCAACCAAGGTACATGCCCTTGACTGGAATCGAACCTGGGACCTTTCAGTCTGCAGGCCAATGCTCTATCCACTGAGCCAAACTGGTTGGGCTCAAATTGTTCTTAATTGCAAAGATATTCTCTTTCCCTTCCAGGTGTCTGAGTATTGATCTCTCTTAAACAGTGTGTTTAGGGAATGGTATGAGCTGTGTACACTTATTTGCTAGCATATAGTTAGTCCCAGATCTTGTAAAGTCTCTCTAACCCAAAATGACATTTTCTGACTCTGATATTAAAGCCTAAAAGGGAGCTAAATAAAATACCTACTATAAGAAAATTGTGAGCTTGGGGAAAGTGTTGTTGGCAAAGTACCTTTCACTCTTCCTTAGACCATCATCTAGAAGAGCTCCCGGGTCTGCCTATGATTGTGAGCAGTCTCTCTTGCAGTCCTGCTTTTTTAGAGAAAGTACGGATCTCTGAGGTCTAATGTGTTTGATCTATGGAGCCGACTACATTTAGCTGTTCTTAGAATGAGGCTGTTGAAGGAATGAGATTTCCATTGAGGGAACCTGATAGTGCCTGGAGTTTCATCCCAAGCTTGAGCCCTCCCTCTCTCACACTAACTTAATAGGAATAGGGCAAAATGAAATCCACTACCTGTCTGTGGAGTCCCTCATTTCTGAAAGTTGTGTAGAGGCTGGGAGCTATTTCCTTTCCTTCTAAGGTGGTTGTTTTGGGTTTTTTTTCCTCCTCAATTGAGGCCCAAGTTTATATCTCTGTGTTGTGGAGATAATGGGTCATGTTCCCGCTGCTGAGAATTTCTTACTGTGACCCAGGTCTCAGACCCAATTCCACCTCCTCTCTAGGCTAGCTGTCTTGCCTGAAAATGAGGACAAGTCTGTACCTCTTAACATTTAGTCACAGTGGCTCAGAAATCACATAGAAGAAACATGAATTATAATAAGAACCCATTTAAGGATGACCTAGGCTTTTGGACCTGTTTTATCTTGAGGCCCTATTCAACTCAATATCTGAAAGACTGTTGACCATATCTCAGTTTTCTCTTAGAGCTTTTTCAGAGCCTCTTTTATTTCCCTTCAGCTATCTTTAGTAATCTTCATTTGGAAGTGAATAATATTATCTATTGCCTTTTTGAAAACAGTATTGCTCTGGGCCCTCTGAACTGTATGGTGTTAGTTGGTGAGGAGGAATTAAAACAGGTATGTGCAAAGCTATAATAAGCTTCCATCAAGTCACAGTTCCCTTTTAACTGAACAAACTGCTCCCCACCAAACCTGAACTATTCAGATCATTCTCTTAAATTCCCTAATAGGATTCACCTAAGAGAGTTGATGATACATGTATAAAGTCCAGAGTAGAATCTGTTCTTCCACTTCATGTAAACTGAGAGTGATCTAGCTCAATAATTTGGTTTTGTCTGGTAGCATGCATTACAATGAGAATTTACTTGCAAACTTATAATTGAGATAATTTGTTTAATTCTCAGATTTCTGCACTGAGTGGCCAGCTGCACTAGACAGTGATGAAAAATGTGAGAAGCATTTTCCAATTGAAATTGACACAGCTGATTATGTTTCAGCAGGACCATCTATTCGAAACCCCAAAGCACGTGTAGTAACCTTAAGGGTAAGAAATGGTTAAAACTGATACATATTTATTATAGAAAATTTAAACAATATAAAGTGTTTTGAAGTATAAAGCAAAATTACCTATAATTCCACTACTTATAAATAACCACTATTGACTGTGAGAGCTCAATTTAGTGTATGTGCAATCCACCTTTTGTATATTAATGGGATAATACTATTTCTCATTTAGTAATATGAATTTAAAATTTCCCAAAGATATTAAAAATTCTTTTATATTATATTTAATAACTACATAAGATAGCATCTAAGTGAAGGTCTGTTGTGTACCAAGAGAGTGTTTGAAGCTGGAGTGCAATGTTGATCTATCAGACATGGTCCTTTTTCTGAGACTGAAGTGGGAGATACAAACAAGTAATTCCACAACATAGATCTACCATAATTTGTTTAAATTATCCATATTATGGGACCTTTAGACTTTCTGATGCTTTTGATATATATTATAAACGTTTTTTTGATTTTATATTATAAACTCCTGCAATGTAACAAATACAACAGGAAATGTAACAGATACAGCACTAACAGGTTGTGAGAAAGCCTGTTTTTCTGTACCCTCACCAACCTAGGTATTATTATTATTACCTATTAATTTTATAGTAAAAAAATAGATCTTTTATTTAAAATTTGTGCCTCTGTATTCTAATGAGGGTGAGAAATTATTCCTTTGTGAAAGCATTTTTTGGGGGGGTCATTTGCCCTTTTTGATGGTGTATTGATTTTTTATACTAATTTTTTCTTTTTATTAGCAGCTCATTTGAGATATAATTCACATACTATGGAATTACCCTTTTAAAGTGTACAACTCAGTGGTTTTTAGTATATTCAGAGTTGTGCAACCATCACCACCACCTAACAGAAACTTTCATCACCATGAAAAGAAGCCCCATTTCCGTTATCAGTCATCCCCCATTATCCCTCTTCTTCCCCACCCCCAAGACCCTGTTAACTACTAAAGTACTTTCTGTCCCTGTGGTTTGCCTACTCTTGACATTTCATATAATTGTCTCATACAATATGATTTTAGTTTGCATTTCCCTAATAACTAATGATGTTGATCATTTTTTTCATACTTATTGACCATTTGTATATCTTCTTTGGAGAAATCTATTTAAATCCTTTGCCCATTTTTAAATTAAATTTTGTTGCCATTGTTCAGTGTGTTTTTTATATATTCTGGATACCAATTCTTTATCAGATATATATCTTGCAGATTTTTTTCTCGCATTCCATGGATTGTCATCTCACATTCTTTTTTATTTTTTTATTTTTTTTTATTTTAATATATTTTATTGATTTTTTACAGAGAGGAAGGGAGAGAGATAGAGAGTTCGAAACATCGATGAGAGAGAAACATCGATCAGCTGCCTCCTGCACATCTCCTACTGGGGATGTGCCCGCAACCCAGGTACATGCCCTTGATCGAAATCGAACCTGAGACCTTTCATTCCGCAGGCCGACGCTCTGTCCACTAAGCCAAACCGGTTTCGGCCATCTCACATTTTTGATGGTGTCTTTTTAAACACAGAAGTTTCATTTTTTTATGAAGTTTAGTGTATGTATTTGTTGTGGGCTTTTTTTGTTTGTTTGTTTGTTTTTGGTGTGGTGCTTTTAGTGCCATATGTAAGAAACTGTTGTATAATTCAGAGTCATGAAGATTGAGTCCAATGTTTTCTTCTAAGAATTTTATAGGTTTGTCTCTTACATTTAGGTATATGAATTACTTTAAATTAATTTTTGTATATGGTGTAAGGTAGGGGTCCATTTTTTTCCTTTTTTTGTTATAATATTTTTAAAATATATTTTTATTTATTTCAGAGAGGGAGGGAAGGGGGGAGAGAAATAGAAACATCAGTGATGAGAGAGAATCATCGATCAGATGCCTCCACACTGGGGATCGAGCTTGCAACCTGGGCATATGCCCTGACTGGGAATTGAACCCTAACCTGCTGGTTTATAAGTCGATGCTCAACCACTGAGCATTGTTTTTCTTTTTGCATGTGGATATTCATCTGTCTCAGCACTGTTTGTTGAAAAGATGATCCTTTCCTCATTGAATTATCTTGCCACCCTTATAAAAAATGGCATAGTTTATTTTTTTAACTTTTCACTTCTCTATTTTGCCAAGTTCTCTTTTTAACCTTTTATTATATAAAATTTTTAATGTATGGAGACATAGAGTTAGTATAATAAACACACATGGCACCTTTTGACAAATTTAAAATATCGAGTGCTTCATGTACTGAAATACATGTGTATGTTTTTGTGGTTTTTGTTTAAGTGTTTCTTTAAAATTACTACTACACTAAAATACTTAAGTGTTATATCTATAAATTAAAAATATTTTCTTACATAATTCCAATGTAATTAATTAGTACAACTAACAAAAGTTTGAGTAATTATTTAATATTATTTAAAATATCGACTCCACACTCAGATTTTCCAAATAGTCTCACCAAAATGTTTTGTGTTTTTTTTTTAATATATTTTATTGATTTTTTACAGAGAGGAAGGGAGAGAGATAGAGAGTTAGAAACATCGATGAGAGAGAAACATCGATCAGCCGCCTCCTGCACATCTCCTACTGGGGATATGCCCGCAACCCAGGTACATGCCCTTGACCGGAATCAAACCTGGGACCTTCAGTCCGCAGGCCGACGCTCTATCCTCTGAGCCAAACCGGTTTCGGCCAAAATGTTTTTTTAAATAGCTTTTGTTTAAATCAGAATCCAGTCAAAGACTAATGCATTTGCTTGTAATGTTTCTTATGTCTTTTTAAATCTCCAACAGCAAAGGACCTCCCTACTACTCTTTTTACTCCTCATTCCCCCAAGGCATAGACTTGTTAAAGAGATAGGTATTTTATCCTGTAGCATTTCCTACCTCAGTTTGTCTGAATGTGTCCTAATGTCATTCACCTTATTTCTCAATCTCTTATATTTCATACTAGAGGCCCGGTGTACAAAAATTTGTGCACTCAGGGGGTCCCTAAGCCCAGCCTGTGCCCTCTCACAGTCTGGGACCCCTTGGGGGATGACCACCTGCTGGCTTAGGCCCACTCCCTGGGGGATTGGGCCTAAGCTGGCAGTCAGACATCCCTCTGGCAGGCCGGGAGCCCTCAGGGGATGTCCACTTGCCAGCGGGGAGCAGGCCTAAGCTGCAGTCGGACATCCTAAGCGCTGCTGAGGAGGCGGGAGAGGCTCCCACTACCACCACTGTACTGGCAGCCATCAGCCTGGCTTGTGGCTGAGCAGAGCTCCCCCTGTGAGAGCGCACTGACCATCAGGGGCAGCTCCTGCATTGAGCGTCTGCCCCCTGGTGGTCAGTGTGTGTCATAGTGACCAGTCATTCCCAGTTTTTCTGCTGTTAGGGTCAATTTGCATATTACCCTTTTATTATGTAGGATAAGTGGAAGTTAGCTGTAAAGAACTGATTAGAGTACAGTAAGATATTTTGATGGGGTCACTTGGTAGATGTTGCCATGTATTTTATATTGTAGTACATGAGAGGGCACAACGTTTGGTTGCCTCATTCTTAATATGCTAAAACTGATCTCTTGGCTAAGAGGCTGACAACCTGATCTCTCAATTGTGAAGTTATCTGTTTTTTGCTTTTCTCTTGAACAGGTAATCCTTAGGTGGATATATTCAGTAAGTTTTGATCAAGTAAAACCATTACTCTTTTTGATGTTCAGGGTATATCCTAACTTTGGCCTGTGGTAACTCTTTTAAGTTGGTTCCTGTGTCCTTTTTTAGAGTCCCATTTGCATTGGAACATTTAGGATCATTTGTGCTTATCTTATATGGCTTTGGAGAAACATCAACTCCCTGCTCTCATTCACCAAGGGAATGCCATATGCCATTGCAGTTGCAAGTCTCTGCTCTAGTAACTTTTAAGTTAGTCCTTGAAACCACCATTAGTTTCCTTCGTTTAAGGAGTCTTGATATTCACAACACATCTTTTTAACTTAGTACGAATGGGGCAGTTACCGATGTACTTTTTTTTATTAAATTTTTAATTTTAGAATAGCTTTAGACTTACAGAAAAGTTTCTAGGATAGTACAGAGTTCCCCTATATTTCACACCAAATTTCTCCTGTTGTTAACATCTTACATTACTATGGTATATTCATTACAACTAATTAGTCAATTTTGACACATTATTCTTTAATTCCATACTTTATTTGCATTTCTTTACTTTTATCCTAATGTTCTTTTTCTGTTAATAATCCTATCTGGGGTACCACATTACATTTAGTTATTGTGTTGGCTGTAATGATTTCTCAAAATTTTCTTGTTTTTAATGACATGGACAGTTTTGAAAAGTACTAGTTTTCTGGAATGACTTCCATTTAGATTTGTTAAGTCTTTTTCTCATAGTTAGACTGGTATGTGTTTTAGGGAAGAAAACCGCAGAAAAAAATGCTATTCTCATCACATGATAACAAGGGTGTAGGCTCTTACCATGTCTTAGCCTAGATCACCTGGCTGAGATCGTATTTGCCAGTTTTCCCCACTGTAAAATTACTATTTTTTTTCCTTTCCATACTGTACTCTTTCAAAGGAAGTCACTTTTCACAGCCCACACTTAAGGAATTGGGAGTGATATTCCACCTTCTTGAGGGAAAAATATCACATAAATTATTTGGAATTCTTCTATATGGGAAATTTGTCTATTTTCCATTTATTTATTCATTTATTCTGTATTTTAAATCAGAGCATCTAAGTATAGCAAAAATTTGTTAAAAATCTCTGCAACCATTTTTACATTATATGCTAACAAATAGACTGTAATTTTTTTAGTGATACAGCTGTGATTGATTTCTAATTTTCCCTTTTTTTTGCTAGGTTTTGGTATCAGGGTCATGGCATCTTTATGAAAAGAATTTATGAAGCTTTCCAGCCTTTTTTTATTCCACAGAGTAATGTAAATGTCATAGCAATATATTTATGCATTTAGAGAAATTGAAAATATTTTATAATTACGGAAGACAATATGTATTTACTGTATAAATTTTAGAAAGTCTAATAAGCAAAAGGAAAAGAGAAAACTTAAAATTCTACTCTGCTGACATCATTCCTTCGACTGACAGGGTAATATAAAGTGCCTATAGAGTGATGATACCTGATACATTTTTAAGAACTTCATAAACGTTACTTCTCTTAATAATAATGATAACACCAACAACAATAAACAGCTGTTGAGCTCTGTATTAGATGATAAAAGGAGAATCTCTGAACTAAGAGTCAGGAAACTAAGTTTCACCTTCCTTCCTATGGGCCTTAGTCTTCAGTACTAGAATAGACATCTAAATTCCCTTTTAGTTTTAAGTTTGCTTATTTTATTTCATAAAACAATAACCTCACTGCTTTATTTGAAGTATGCCACCAGATATCACTTATATCATATCATGCTCCCTTATGTCCTTTCCTCCTGATTCATATCTGCTGTTCTGGACTTACTTCACTGTACCCACTGACTGCTGGGGCTCAGTGTGGTGTCCTTAATGGTGTCATGGAGTTCAAGACATGACTTAAGCAACATTGTGAAGGTAATCAAATATTATAAAGTATTATTTAGAGATACTCAAATTTTTAAATTCAGAGAAAGATGGTACATATTTCTTAATATTCTAAAAGTAGTTCCAAATTAAAACTACCTTAATATTTGTATAGGACTTTACTTTAAAAGTGCTTTCTTTGCCCTAGCTGGTTTGGCTCAGTGGATAGAATGTTGAAAAAATGTGGGCTCGGTCCCCAGTAGGGGCGTGCAGGAGTCAGCTGATCAATGATTCTCTCTCATCATTGATGTCTCTCTCTCCCTCTCCCTCTCTGAAATCAATAAAAATATATATTTTTAAAAATGCTTTATTTAATCTGATTTATTCCTAACAAAAATTCTGGATCCTTTCTGTTTTATACATGAGGAAACAGGAAAATCAGATGAATTGTTTAAAGTGAGTTAGCCAATAAGTAGCAAATCTAGAAGTCAAACACAATTCTTGTCTTTTGTGTAATACCAGAGTTCTTAACTAACTGCACTGTTCTTATAGAGAAACTATTTCACACACTTAGACATTGCTCAATTAATGTAGCTCTTTTAAATATGAGCATTTGAAAAAACATACATATGTAATAACCACAACCTCCTATATTAAATGTCAACATTATTTTGGTTATAATGTTAATAGTACAGTATTGATTCTTTAAAATATAGCACCTTGAAAAAAGAAAGGCCTATAGATTCTTTTGAATTTTGGAAAAAAGAATAATGACAGATGCCACTCAACTTCAAAATCAGATCATTATCCAGGTTAGACTCCAGTTTTGCAGTGCCTTTGAGTGCTAGCAGGTGGCGTGAGTGCACCACACAGCTGTGCCTAAAATGTTCATGAGTTTCTAGCATAAACTCTATATAATTTTTGAACATTAAAATGTTAATGTAAACAGGTTTTAAAGCAGTTGTTACAATAATGGTCAACATTGCTGCCATTTTTTTGACTACTTCTCATATGAAAAGCTAGAACTCTTAAATTTTGTAAATGCTACATTTTAAAATTTATTATTAAATATGATTTCATCAAAGGGAGTTTTAAAAGGGAAAAATGTCTACATTCTCACTATCCTAATGTAAAAACCATTCATTTCTTTCTACTGTATCTATACATATGTGCATATATTTTCATAATTATGATCATAATGTAGGTCCATTCTATGGTTTTCTTATAAATAATTCTCCATATTTTTAATAACCAGCATAAAATGGCATATTTTACCAATCAAGCTGATAACCTGGTTGTTGATATATATTCTTTCCAGGGGACTATGGAAGTTCACATTGTCTTCAACATATAACCATTCTATTGGATTGATATTTAATAATCCGTGTTCTTTTAAGACTGCATTTGCATTTATTTATTTGTTTTCTGTTTTCTCTAGTTCAAATAGAAATTCACAGTGCTTAAAAAAACAGTATACCCTCTCCTGTTTTCACTTATGTATTCATTCAGCAAATATGTGTTACATGCTTTTTAAGTGGTAAGCCGTTGCCAAGAACAAGACAGACATCATTCTTACCCTGAAGAGTTTGCAGTCTAGTGGGAAAAATGGAAAAATAAATAAGCTCTTCTGTTATAGTGTCCTGAGGGAAGTATAGCGTTATAGAAGTTAGAGAAAAGAAATAGATGGGATTTCAAAATCTTATTTATTATTTAGCCTTTTTTCTTCTTCTTACAGTTATGACTCTTTCTTATTCCTAGTGTTCTCCATGGAAAAATAATCTGTGGTTTACCCTATTTAACCCCTAGAGTGCTGGGGAGCGCAATCACACTCTTCCTGTATTTCGCCAAAAGTGCCGGGAGCGCTATCAAAGCTTCGAAATGGCGTCCAGTTCTAAGTCTGCTTTTATTAGTGATGATGATATTGCTAAATATGTCAATGTAGTAAAGGTTTCCTTAAGTTTTTGAATATGTAACTTCATTTACTTGCGATCCATAATTTTTTTCCTAAACTGCTGTAAAATCAGCAAAAATGCCTTGGCAATTTTAGCATAGTTCCTAGGATATTGGTTGGCACTCAAGGGGTTAACTGTATTCTAGTGTCTAACTTATTCTCCTATGTCAAGCCTCTTCATCTCTAGATAATACCTTCAGCCATGCCATAATTCTCTGCAAATTAACGAGTGTTTTCATTTCGTCCATCACTTCCCAAAATATGTTTTAAGGAAGACTAATTCCATGAACTGTCCCTTAAAAAGTAGAATCTGAGGTCAAATAAATGTGGGAATCATTACATAACAACCCTGCATCTTGAAATTTCACAGTGTTTATTAGCATATTATCTCCTAAGAAATCCTATTGTAGGGAATCCAATTTAACTCAGCATTTCTTGAATGCATTCAATAGATAGTCTTTTTAAAGAAATAATTCTTAGGAGCTTGTGGGGCTAGATTTGTTATTTTGAGAAATATTGAGCTATGTTATTTCAAATGTTTTGATCCTTTGCTCCCTCCATGAGATCTGTAGCTTTTAAAATAAATGCCCCTAAGCTAGTTGGAATGATAGGGGTCTCATAATTGTATGATAGAAATTCCTTATGTTTTATCAATTTATTCCTATATTCCAACTTTACTATTACTAATTCAGTTTAATTCTGTTAGTTAATGCTACTCATAAGCAGCCTAATTTTATTTATTTAAGAGACATGCCATTGATTCTTTTAGGAAAGGTATGAATGCCCAACACTTTCAAAGATCACCAAACAGTTTGCTCCCCCCTTTTCTTCCATGAGTAAGATCAGGCTTCATAATGCATGCTGTTGCTAACTCTGTATAGAAAGGAGTTTGAAAGGGATTCCTTTTGCTCATTTTAATGTTAATTTAATATTAATACTGCTTTTTCATTAAAGAAAGTATATGAAATAATCTTTTTCAAATAAATTTTTTCTTGTATTTTTAAGGTTAAACTTTCCAGTTTGAATTTAGATGATCATGCAAAGAAGAAACTTATTAAACTTGTAGGAGAACGATACTGCAAGACCACAGATGTGCTTACCATCAAAACAGATAGGTAAAAGAAAGAAAAGTTCAGCCTATCGGCCATGTGTTGCTTTATTGTCCTCCCATACCCTAGCAGTCCTTTTTAAAGAAATTACATTGAAAATAAGGATAGTCTTTTATATCGACTTATATTAGCTTTGTTAGGTCAAGAGAAGTTGTCTAGTTTATATTTTTAATGTCCTCACACTGGCCTACTGTTACTGTGGGATCTTTATATACATGGAGAGGCTTGCCTGATGAGTTAAATTATTTGTTGTTGTGATTTTTAATCTTGATTTTAATATATCCATGTATATAAAACTCAGAGAAGAGGTTAGAAGAAAACAAGTATAATTTGCTAGCAATTAATGCTTAAACAGGTGTTTACAGAGTCAAAGTATATAAAAATCTCATAGTTCACAATTAAAATTATTAAATTAACTAGAAATTTAATTTATCAAGGTACTTGTTTAAATAAGCAGAATTTAATACTAGCATAGCATTCATAAAAGTAGCATTAAATTTATATAAATGTATAAATTAAGTCACTTGAGGTAAAGAAAGATTATTATTATTGTTTTACTAAATGGCTACTTTATTTCTAGAATTATACTTTGGTTATCTATAAATTATGTCAAAATATAAAAGTCATGCTTTTAGAGAAAGCAATTGAGCCGCTATCCTCTCCCCCTTCTTGTCAGTTTCAGAGCATTTGGAAGTGTCATTACCACTTAGGTTTTATATCCTGCTTGGTGGTGGGAAGTAGCCTGACGCACATGTGAGAGGGCAGCAGTATGGAGGTGGAAGTAGTGAATTACACAGATTATTCTTATTCTAAGAACAATTTTTATAAAGCAGATAAGGAATATCTGAATGCAAGTTATTCTTTTATATTTAGTATTTATATATTTTGCAAATAATTCTGTGTATTGAATTTTTAGAATTTTTACTTCCTCCCTCTCTCTCTTTTGAAGGTGTCCTTTAAAGAGACAGAATTATGATTATGCAATGTATCTGCTAACAGTTTTATACCATGAGTCTTGGGTAAGTGATTGTGTGAATGTTTAATCATTTTATCTGTAAATTAGGTGATGTTCTGACCTTTCAAAACAGTCTGTGTGGCAAGTACTCAGTTGTGTGGTTTTTTTTAAATATATATTTTTATTGAGTTCAGAGAGGAAGGAAGACGGAGAAGATAGAAACAGCAATGATGAGAGAAAATCATTGATTGGCTGCCTCCTGCACGCCTCCTACTGGAGATTGAGCCTGCAACCTGGGCATGTACCCTTGACTGGAATTGAACCAAAATTGGCTAATTAGTCTTAGGTCTGCGGGCATGAAGGAAGCTTTTTAAAACTACAGATGCTTGGCCCCTATAGAATCAAAATCTCTAGCAGGGAGGCTCAGGCTTGTTTCATTTTAGACTCCACGGGTGATTCTGATGCTGAGCTCTGACTGTGAATAAGTTCCCTAGCTTTTGAGTGTTGCTAATAAAGAAACTGATTAGAAGGTTGGTATATCTCTTGTAAGATAATTTTTTTAAACATGTATCTAGTATTAGAGCTGAGGGTGCAGATGAAAATATGAATGAGAGGTCTAGAAAATGGAGACAGACATATGACAGAAAATATATTTTTGACTTGATGTGGTAGTAGGCTATGGCAACTGTTCTAGATTCCTGAACGGGAAAATGATACGGTGAGGGTGATGCGTCCCATGTCTCTTTGCCTTCAGGCAAGATTTCCTTTTACTTCTCATGTTTAAGAGCCTACCATGTACTTAAAGACTTTTAGGAAAGTTTGTGTTCTTTCCCACCCCGTGGCTGAAGTCATGAATGTGAGCATTATTATACTCTTTTCTTCCCTTATCTTCTCCCTTGATATCTAGTCACTAGGTCTTCTCAGTGTTAGCCTTTAAATATCTGTTAAACTATTTTCTCCTCTTCATCCCTCCTGCTACTACCCAGGTATAGGTCTTCATTTTTTACCCCAAAAACTGCAATAGTCTTACTGATTTTCCTGTCTTATCCATCTTCCATGTTCCTGTTAAAGTAATTGTTCTAAAAAACAAGTCTGTTGTGTCATATTTCTTTATAACGTCCTTCAGTGATTCCCCTTTACCTAGGACTAAATGTAAACTCCTTTGTCTGTCTGTTCACAGTCATTGCTACCTCATTATCAGCTACTCAGGAAATGTGGGTTATATATCTTATACCTCAGCCATAACGAGCATAATGTGTTCTTTCATAACATTGCATATGCTGTTCTCTTTGCTTATAATCTTTTATTTTTTTCAAATATCAGCCTTACAAATTCATATGAATCCTTTAATACACCTCAGCTGTTACTTCTCATATGTTTCCTGTCCATCTTTTTCCACTCCTTCCTCATTCAGTTACTTTTATGGTAATTGTCTGTGTGCATGGCTGCCTAACTCCATCAGACTCCGACATCACTGAGGACAAGGACTGTACATTTTTTTTTAATTGCTTAAAGTATTACAAAGAGTATTACATATGTCTCCTCCCCCCCCCCACCTTGACAATCCCCCAGCCTCCCCTACCCCCCAGTGTCTTATGTCCATTGGTTATGCTTATATGCATGCATACAAGTCCTTCTGTTGATCTCTTACCACACCCGCCTGCCCCCCAACCCTCCCCAGCCTTCCGGCTGTAGTTTGACAGTCTGTTCGAGGCTGCTCTGCCTCTGTGTCTATTTTTGTTCATCAGTTTGTAATGGTCCTTATTATCCATAAATGGGTGAGATCATGTGGTATTTTTCTTTCATTGACTGGCTTATTTTACTTAGCATAATGCTCTCCAGTTCCATCCATGCTGTTGCAAATGGTAAGAATTCCTTCCTTTTTACCGCAGCATAGTATTCCATTGTGTAGATGTACCACAATTTTCTAATCCATTCATCTGCTGATGGGCACTTAGGCTGTTTCCAGATCTTCACAATGGTAAATTGTGCTGCTATGAACATAGGGATGCATATATCCTTTCTGATTGGTGTTTCTGGTTTCTTGGGATATATTCCTAGAAGTGGGATCACTGGGTCAAATGGGAGTTCCATTTTTAGCTTTTTGAGGAAACTCCATACTGTCTTCCATAGTGGCTGCACCAGTCTGCATTCCCACAGCAGTGCATGAGTGTTCCTTTTCTCCGCATCCTCTCCAGCACTTGTCGTTTGTTGATTTGTTGATGATAGCCATTCTGACAGGTGTGAGATGAAGGACTGTACATTTTATTCATCTTTCTATTTCTAGCATCTAGTACTGTCCGGCATATCAACAATCAGTAAAATTTTAAAAAACTGATTTGGATTGAATTGAACTTCTTGACATATTAAATAAAAATTTAGCTGTGGTAACTGAAAGAATTGGCGATAACTTTTTATTCATTATGCATATTTATCTATTTTTTTATTATTTTCAAATAACTTAGGGAATTTGTAATGGTCAAACAGTTTTCCCTTAAATAGCACAATGTCTTTCTTGTAATCATGAGAAGTGGAATATTACTGAGATTCATGTCCTAGGCAAAAGGAATTGTAAATAAGATGTTAGAAGATGACAAATGTGTGTTTTTAGTGGAACAGATATTTCTTTGCTTTCTGTTAGAATACACTGACCAGGGCATGAATTAGCTATTATTATATGTTGTTCTTTGTATTGAATTTATGCTTGCAAGGGGAAGAAAGAAATAGGTTCAAATTAAATTATTCTTTTGTTCTTTTTATATTCTTTTTACCATGTCTCTGTGTTCCCTGGAACATGTTGTTCTGCCACTAACAAGCAGTGTGATTTGGGCACATTGTTTAGTTGCCCTGGGCTTCAGTTTCCTGCTCTGTAAAACAGATGGCATAACAGTATTACCTCATAGGATTGCTGGGAAGGTTCAAGGAGTTAATATATGGAAGGTGCTTAGAATAGCAAGTACTCTAATAGCTATTCAGATTCATCCCATGCCACTTTCCTTTTCGGGCCTGAATTCAGTCCCCCGAATGTACTGAGCTCTTCCGTCCTCTAGGCCTTTATCGGCTTTTTCCTCCACTGGGATCCCAATCTTTATCTAACTGGCCTCTACTCAACTCCAAGTCTCCTCCTAGACTGGCAGTTCCAGGCCAGCGCAGTGTCCAGCGCAGTAGTTGTGCAATCAGTATTTACCGAGTGAATTAAAGTGTAAGAATCGAGTTGGCTGTGGAAAAGAGAATAGTATCTGTGGAATGCAAGGTGCTTCCTAGGGTGACTCTAGTCAGAGCAGGTTCTCTCACCGTAGAGGGAAGAAAAGAGAGACCATACACTATATGTATATACATGTGTGTGTATAATATCCACCCTTATAAATTAAATGGTGAAGTTATATTCAGTGATTGAAGTATTAAAATAGGCATCAAATTCTTTGCCTAAGTGATCAGCTAGAGCTTACAATGGTATTTTTATTGTCCCCCAGTATTTGACTATGCTATTGTTTACACTTTAAAATTAATACATTCCAACTACACTTAAAAAAAAGAAACTCTCAAACAACTGCCCACTTTGAATCTTGGGTGTTATTTTAGAAGCTAAAATTTTGACTGAATTATAAGTTATACATCATAAATAAAGTTTAATCATAGCAGTGTTTTTAAAACGGATTTAGGACATGCATGATGTGTCACCAGTACTGATTGGTTATCCTGAGGTGGTAGGATTACAGGTTATTTCTTTCCTTTTCAGTAATTTTCATCTTTTCTGTGGAAGCTGTATATGGAACTGCAGCCTGCTGATACTATATCTGAAATCAGTTCTGGATAATTATTCCTTTAGCATTAACCCCTGTTATTAGAGGCCCTTACTATAACAATGAACTTTTGCTTAAAGACATTGAAGTTAAAGAAAAATGTGTTTTGGTTTTTTTTTTTAAAGGAAACTTCCAGAAAGGCTATTTAAAGTCACAAATGTAAAAATCTTATTTCAAAATTATTATTAAATATGACATTTTGGAGATACCGCTTATTTAGAACTAAAACTGAGCCGTTTTAACTTTAATATTTTTAACTGAATGTGTCATGTTTCTAGAAATGTCTGCTCTGTTTCTTCTTTCTTTTTTTTTTTGTTAATCCTCACCCTAGGATATTTTTTCCCATTGACTTTATTTATTTTTTACTTGGTTGAATTTTGTATTTTAACAATATCCAGTGAAATTATCCTTTAAAAGTAAAAGGAGAGCCCTAGCCAGTTTGTCTCAGTGGATAGAGTGTTGGCCCTCTAACCGAAGGGTCCCGGGTTGGATTCTGGTCAAGGGTACAAACCTCAGTTGCAGGCCCAACCCCTGCGCAATGTGTCTCTCTCACATCTCTGTTTCTCTCTTGGATTTTCCATTGAGTGGATAGAAGTGGATAGTGGGGGGTAGAGAGAAAGAAACATCGATGTGAGGGAGACACATCGATTGGTTGCCTCCCACACTCACCCTAACAGGGATCAGGAATCAAACCTGCAACCATGGTACGTGCGCTTGACCAGGAATCAAATCCGAGACCTTCCCATGTGGAAGCCAATGCTCTAACCATTGAGCCATGTTGGGCTGTCTGCTATGTTTTAGTCTAAATCAGTTACATCTCATTGTTTCCCACGTTTTGTCCTTTTCCTCCTTTTCCCAGTCTCTACCTCTCCCAGGTGATGCACTCTATCTTGTATACACTGCCAAGTCCAAACTCTTATTGTCAGACCTCTCTCCTGAGCACCGTGTTAGTTGAGACCCCCTGTTGAGAGCCATGGAAACTCACTCAAGCTGGCTTAAGCAGAAAAGATACAATTGCAAGGATCCCACAAAATCTCAGGAATGGGCATGAACAGAAAGGAGACTATGCGAGGGCTGTTTTTATTCTGTGGGCTCTTGCTCTACAGGCAGCTGCCTTTTTTTTTTTTTTTGTCTGAAGACTGATTTCCTCTCTTCCTCCAGTCTATATGTCAGAAAGAGTGACCTTCACTATTTCAGAATCTTATAGGACTAGTCATCCCGGGGAGGGGGAAGGCTGAGGTGAGGAAAAAGGGAGCAAAGGAACAAAACTAAAAACAAAACTAAGCTAAATTTAATTCTCTCTTTGGATTCAAACTCCAAGCGGGGGGCTCTGCTTCAGTCAGGCATTGTCCAGAACTGTGGCCAGATGGGCAAGTTAAATAGTCCTTTTTTTAAAGAAAAATACTACTATATTATGGATAAAATGACAGAGTCTGAGACTTCCTTCAAAATAATTTAGTGAATGCATGATAAGGGAACAGTGCTTTTCTATATGCTCTTATAGAGAGAAGCATCTAAAACAGTGGTTCTCAACCTTCCTAATGCCGCGACCCTTTAATACAGTTCCTCATGTTGTGGTGCCCCCCAATTTCATTGTTACAAATTGAACATAATTAAAGCATAGTGATTAATCACAAAAACAATATGTAATTATATATGTGTTTCCCAATGGTCTTAGGCAACCCCTGCGAAAGAGTCGTTCTACCCCCAAAGGGGTCGTGACCCACAGGCTGAGAACCACTGATCTAAAACAAGATTGGCTATGAGTTGATTGTTGAAACTGGATGATAGGTGCATGAGGTTCACAGTCTGTTGTCTTTACTTTTGTATTTGTTTGAAATTTCCTAGAATAGAGTTTTTAATCACAAAAACAAAATTGTATTTAGTAGAGTTAAAGAGCCTCATAAATTATTAGCTTAAAAATTAAATTAATTTTGTACCAGTCTCAGCATTATCACATTTGAATAATGAGGTTTTTGCTTTAGCCAGCTCTGTTCTTAATTTCATCTGAAGGGTAATTTCAGCGGATGCCCAGTATGAACAAGCACATAAATGTACCTTTTACATAAAATGTATGGGTATGAATTAGTTTTTAGCTAGGGTGCCTAGAGACATCGAGCTTCTCCTAGCTCTGCCCAGCATATAGTAGGTTCTCAGTAAATGTTTTTTTGAACAGGTGTCCCTTAGCAGTCACAAACCAAAAGGGAGTCTTGTCTGTTGAGCTGTTTTCTTAAAATTTGTTTAAGAAATCTTGTTTGTTTGTTTTTTGCTGTACGTTTTCCATCATTTGAATTTTGCTGATTATCACCGTAGTATAATTTTTGAGATAAATGAAGACTGCTCCAGGCTCACATAGCCACCTGAGGTCTAAGGGAATCAATATTATGGCACATCACATCTCTAACACACCTTGGCAAACCAGTGTAGAATTCTATACCAAATGTCAGGAGAAGATAAATGTTGGAAATTATTATTACTTTGGTTACCTCCTGTTTAAGCATCTGTTTCAAAGCAGTTAAGAAAGTCTTGATAAATCTAGGTGAAACATTTTTTAAACCATTAAGTAGTCTTTTTTAACTTATTAATCTAGTAATCTGTTAATGCCAACTTATTAATTACTTGATTAGAAATAAAAGTCTCTGAACGACTTATCCTCTAGCAGTCAAGAATGAGATAGAGTAACTATTTTACTTAATGCTTTATAAAATGTATTTGTTGACTTCTTAAATGAAATATGCTTCACTTGTAAATTACAATTATGAAGAAACCATGACATTGTCTTGAAACATTTAAAGTATTTCTAAGGGTAGATAAAACCATCTAGAGCATTTTTAAAAGTGGCTGACATTTATTTCTTCCTCAAATATTACAGTTAAATTTAGGCGGGTAGGATAATTTTTTCAGGGTTTTTTTTTTTTTTAATGCACAAAATCAAAATTTGCTATTAGAAATTATTTGCCACAGTGTTGTGTGGGCAGGGCACACTAAGAAAAATTTTCCATTATTTCCGTTCCCCTCAGGCAAGCCTAAAGCTCATTACCAGATAAGAAGGCAGCACAGAGTTGATTCTCAACCAGATATTTCTAGAACATAAGTTGAGGCATCATCTTCAGCCATAGATTTCGTGCAGAGAGGTGGGCAGACAGTATAGGGAGCTGTGAGTACAGATACCCTGTATTGGCTAAGGAATTTGTTGATCAGAGGAGACATTCTCCATCCTATTAGTTTCCCTTGGAGGAAAGAGGGTACTCAGTTTGAAGTATAAATGGAGGATTTCTTTTGGGGGGTTTCTGTGGTTGGGAGCCGCTCTCCTAGGGCTCAGTGGGGGTTGCTGGATCATCGACATCCCAGTGGCCTGTTTGCGTTTGGTGGGGCTTCTCTCTTACCCTCTGACGGACAGATCTCCAGTGCACTTCTCTTTCTATGGGGGTGGGGGTGGGCGGAAGGCATGGTGGAACTGTTTACCTCATCTTGCTGCTCATGTAGCTCTGAGGAGCCTTGGAGATCTGTCTGCTCAGGCGGGGGTCTCTTTTAAGAGGAGTTTTCATAAATAAATCTACCACTCTTCTAATACTTCAAAATGTTATAACTTCTTAAAGTTGTAAGAATAGTAGATGATTTTATAATGGCCTATCACTCACAATCTTACCCTGTTAATTTGGAAAGAATGAGGTTGGTATTCAGCACTTCTTTGAAGCAGAGCATATTACTTACTAGCTGCATTGCTTGCTTTTTCACAGAATGTTACATCTTCATTTAAGTCATAAGCTGAATTGTGTGACCATGAAACCTACCAGTGTTCCCTCAATAGCGTGGTAATAATTTTTGTAAGAAAAAAAAACAAGTGGTAACAAAAATTATTTCCATTGTAGGAACAGAAAATGAAGATAATACCAAAACAAAATTCCAGAATATATGAAGTCATTATGACTGAAAATTATGTATTACACACGTACTTCATATTTTTAATTTTATTATAATAATTGGTCTTTCCTGTCATCCCCACAGGCATGTTACAAAGATAAATACAGTCTCCACTCTCATTATTTTTAACCACAGAAATGTAAACTGTTGATGTGTTAGCATTTAGGGACTAGAAAGCTGCAAAAAAGGAGTTTTTCTGTATCTTTTGGAAAACAGTATTGCGTTATAAGTGGAATTAGAACTAGTGAGTGGAAACGGAGTGTTCACATAGCCGTGTGCCATCCTGAAGCTGTTGGTGCAGGTGGAGAGCGGTGCTGGATAAAGGGGGAAATCAAAGTGTACATACAGAGTATTCACATTTTGCCAACTTCTATTCCCCTAAAAACCCCAGTCTTTTCTTTGGATAATATTTCTCAGAATTCAGAACTCATTCTTTCCTTTCAGAAAACTGAGGACTGGGAGAAAAATAAGACTGAAGCAGACATGGAAGAGTATATATGGACAAATAGCTCCTCAGAAAAAAATATCCTGGAAACACTTCTCCAAATTAAAGCCGCAGAGAAAAACCTGGAAGTAACTAAAGAAGAGCTCCTTGGAACTAAAGAGATTGAAGATTACAAAAAGTGCGTTGTTAGTCTTAAGAACGAAGGGGACAGTGAAAATACTCTTTCTCAGTACAAAGACTCAGTGAAGAGACTATTAAATTTGACATGAATTATGTAGAAAAATATGCTTGGTTTATTTTATGACCTATATGTAATTATCTAATTTGATATAAAGTTGAAAATGTTAAAAAATATTGTTTTACTTTCGAGTTAAAATTATTCCTTTCATACTAATGCACAAAAGACAATGAATATTCACAAATTTTCTTACTATACTCTGGGGCAATTAGACTCATTAGATCTCTGATTTCTTCTGGTTCTAACATGTTTTGATTTTACTTCTATTATAACAACTTTAGAATTTAAATGCAGATAATATATTTATTTTGTCACCTGCTACATTGTTTCCCTACACAGTAGCACTTATTGGATGCTTCTGAATTGTAATTGTGATTATTTCAGAAGTGAGGTCTAGAACCGGGCCCCACGCAGTCAGTGTTTTGTTTACATAACTGCTGTCCACCCAATGCATTTTTGCAGATGTCAGTTCTGATTAGAATCAGGTCTTTGGGAGTATTTTCTAACCTAAAAAATTGGTTCCATCCCTCTATTTTGGGGTCACTTTATATTGATTCATTTCTGTTTAGTATCTTACTTGCTATTTCCTGGGCCTCATTTCTCCAAACCCAATCTGAAAATGGAGATTAACTGGTATTCATTGCTTGATTCCCCAGGGAGAGCTCCCACAGCTCAGGAAAGAGATGAGGCATAAGGAGTGTAAGTGGAATAAATGACAGATCACCCATCTTCCCCCACTTCCCTTCCCCCAGGAAGCCAGGACCAAGCAATGCTCACCACACAGGGAGGGTCTGGGCCTTCCTGCAGAGCCTTGCTCACTTGAGCAATGCCCTAAGAAGCATTCTATTCCATTTAGCTGTCAACTCAGGATTTTTAAGTATATCTGGAGGTCATTTCTTAACACTTCCAAAGTTGTCCACAAGTGATTAACTTAAAATAAAAATAAAGGCATTATTGAGTTTCTTTACCTAAGACTTGTTTTAGAGGACAGAATTAGAGGACATAAATGAAAGCCAAAAGGAATTTCAAAACAGTTGCCCAAAAGATGTATATAAAATGAAGGTATGCTTTGGTATTAGCAAGCCCAAAAGTTGGTAGGTTAGAAAGGGCAACAATATGGCTTTGAGTGCAAAAAGGAGAGGTATGTTGTATTTCATTGGATGAAAATACTGAATGAAAAGCAAAGTAGATAAAACTGAATTTTTAGATCAGGTTTCAAGCATACATGAGTGCATTGAAATGTTACATTTTTAGAGACTCAGAGTTAGGAAAACTCAGCTGCAGAAACAGGACTAAAGAAGGAAACATTTGGAAGGAACATGTGAAGAGGTGGTGGATTAGGATCATCAGTCCTATAGTAATAGTACAGTGTAGGTGTCAGCAGGGGCAGAAATGATCTATAATAATAAAAGCGTAATATGCAAATTAGAACAGCCATCCTTCCAGATCAGGGGTGGGCAAACTTTTTGACTCGAGGGCCACAATGGGTTCTTAAACTGGACCGGAGGGCCGGAACAAAAGCATGGATGGAGTGTTTGTGTGAACTAATATAAATTCAAAGTAAACATCATTACATAAAAGGGTACGGTCTTTTTTTTTTTTTTTTTTTTTTAGTTCATTTCAAACGGGCCGGATTCGGCCTGCGGGCCGTAGTTTGCCCATGGCTGTTCCAGATGAAGCCGGGGCTGCAAGGGAAGCCCCGGTGCCTGCTCGCGGCCAGAGGGAAGCAAGCCCAGGTCCTGGGTGCTAGAGGGAAGCCGGTGCTGGCAGCCAGGGGAAGGAAGGCCTGTTCTTGTACAAATTTCGTGCATTGGGCCTCTAGTGTGTAATAAAAGAGTTTGACCTTTCCCAAAGGTCTGGCTTCTCCCTGTAGCTTCTGGGAGGTAATCTATGCCATACCTCATAGAAGTGTCTTTGTTTAACGCTGAGCTGCTCACAATGATTTTTAGGGTGGGGCTGGCCACACCTGATAGTCTTAGGCATGTCAGAAAAACCAACCATGTTATTTTGGGTGGGGGCTTTGAGTCATCTGGTAAATCAGTGCACCTGGCAACTGAGATCAACCACAGGTAATCAGTCAATCATACCTATGTAATGGAGCCTCAATAAAAACTTTAAACATGAGGCTCAGGCAAGCTTTCCTGCTTGGCAATACTCTGGGCATGTCAGACCCTGGAACGGTGAGGAATCCATCCTGCCTCCAGGGGTAGAGGACACCAGAAGTTGTGAGTTTTTTTTGTTTTTTGTTTTTAAATTCTTTATTGTTTAAAGTATGACATGAGTCTCCTTTTCCCCCCATTGACCTCTCCCCTGCCACCTCCTCCCCCAAGCACAAGACCTCACCCCCCCCCACCCCCCCCCCCACTGTCTGTGTCCATTGGTTTTGCTTATATGCATGCATACAAGTCCTTTGGTTGATCTCTTACCCCCTCACCCCCCACTTTCCCTCATAGGTTGGACAGTCTGTTCGATGCTTCTATGTCTCTGGTTCTATTTTTGTTCATCAGTTTATGTTATTCACTATATCCCACAAATGAGTGAAATCATGTGATAGTTACCTTTCTCTGACTGGCTTATTTCACTTAGCATAATACTCTCTAGTTCAGGGGTGGGCAGCCTTTTTGTGAGTGCGTGCCAAAACCACTGGCTCAAAATTCTTCTGCGTGCCAACCCTAATGTTTTGAGAACATGTTACGCCTACTTGATATCTCTTAAGGTGTACATATGTGAAGGACCTTGAAGAAGTAATAAAATTCATTCGAGTGACAAAAACACAGTATATGATGATGAAAAATACATTTACTTTTTAATGTATACATGTACACTGATAGAAAACTTTATGACTCCGTTTGATATTATCAGTGGGACTTTTGCTGCTGCATCACTGATGACAGAGATTTTACATCAGGTTTATATTTCATGACCTTCAGAGATATGCACGAGCTACTACTTTCATCCGTCAGGCTACTCCTATTAAGAGACTTAACAAAATTCATCACTGAGAACAAAGATTCACAAGCATATGTGGATGAAACCAAAACACTGGTCGGATCTAGGAAGGCAGGGAGAGTTAAGGCAGAGGCATAGAAATTGCTCTTCCCCTCTCTCGTCAATCCATGTCTATGGTCTTTAAGATAACTTGTTATGTAAAATTATTTATCTAAGATGCACCTAGACTGAATTTATCTGAAAAATAAAAAAGTTGATATTAAGAAAATTGAAAATGGAAGATTATAAGAGAGGGTTTCGCGTGCCAGCAAAAGTTACTGGCGTGCCATGTTTGGCACGCGTGCCAGGGGTTGCCCACCCATGCTCTAGTTCCATCCATGCTGTTGCAAGTGGTAAGAACTCCTTTTTTACAGCAGTGTAGTATTCCATTGTGTAGCTGTACCACAGTTTTCTAATCCACTCATCTGATGATGGGCACTTAGGCTGTTTCCAGATCTTAGCTATGGTAAATTGTGCTGCTATGAACATAGGGATGCATATATCCTTTCTGATTGGTGTTTCTGTTTTCTTGGGATACATTCCTAGAAGTGGGATTACTGGGTCAAATATAAGTTCCATTTTTAATTTTTTGAGGAAATACCATGCTGTTCTCCACAATGACTACACCAGTCTGCATTCCCACCAGCAGTGCAGGAGGGTTCCGTTTACTCTGCATCCTGGCCAGCAATTGTCAAGTTTGTTGATTTGTTGATTTGTTGATGATAGCCATCCTGACAGGTGTGAGATGGTACCTCATTGTTGTTTTGATTTGCATCTCTCGGATGATTAGTGACTTTGATCATGTCTTCATATGTCTCTTGGCCTTCTGTATGTCCTCTTTTGAGAAGTGTCTACTTAAGTCCTTTGCCCATTTTTTGATTGGATTGTTTATCTTCCTTTTGTTGTATGAGTTCCCTGTACATTTTGGAGATTAAACCCTTATGGGAGATAACATTGGCAAATGTGTTCTCCCATGCAGTGGGCTTTCTTGTTGTTTTGTTGATGGTTTCTTTTGCTGTGCAAAAGCTTTTTATTTTGATGTAGCCCCATTTGTTTATTTTCTCCTTAGTTTCCATTGCCCTAGGAGCTGTATCAGTAAAGATATTGCTATGACATATGTCTGCTATTTTGCTGCCTATGGAGTCTTCTAAGATTTTTATGGTTTCCCATCTTTAAGTTCTTTATCCATTTTGAATTTATTTTTGTGTATGGTGTAAGTTGGTGTTCTAGTTTCATTTTTTTGCATGTATCTGTCCAATTTTCCCAGCACCATTTATTGAAGAGACTGTCCTTGACTCCATTGTATGCTTTTGCCTCTTTTGTCAAATATTAATTGAGCATAATGGCTTTGGTTGATCTCTGGGGAAGCTGTGAGTTTTGAATCTTTCTGGACTTCATCCTATGAGCTTCTCCCTTGGCTGATTTTAATCTGTATACTTTCCCTATAATAAACCACAACTGTGAGTATGACAGCTCTCATTGAGTTCTGTGAATTCTAGTAAGTTATTGAACCTGAGGATGTTTGGGAACTCCTGCCCTACCCGGAATTTAGAGTTGGTGTCAGAAGTGAGGATGGTCTTGTACAGGACTGTGACCTTTAACCTTTGCAGTTTAGCTAACTGACCTGAAGGCTCTCGGACTGAGGCTTGACCCTAGGATCACAAACTCTTAGAGCTGTAAGATTAATACAAAACCGCCTCCAAAGATAACAGCTGCCATCATTGTAATTTTAGCCATAATTAAACAGCACTGTTTGGCAATTAGATCCTTGTCCTTTAAACTATTAAGTGGCCCAATATATACAGTGAACATTACCGTATTCATCCTTATAATGAGGAAGGATTCTAGGGGATGCTGCTGGTGTTGATCTGCAATCATTTCTGAGTTCAAACTCTTAAAAAGTTGCTTAAACATGTAGGCAAAAAAAACTTGTCTTCTTAATGATAGGGTGCTTTATTTCTTGGCGTATATTCTTTCCAATATTGGTCAGTATTTCATAATAATGGACAATTACAAACTTAAACCCATACCAAAACTGACTACCTACAATGTTGGAGAGATTTCAGTATTGTGGTTATTTCCCAGATGGGTGTAACAACTTTCACAGTAGTTGTTGACAGGGCCCTGACATCTTTGTTTCTTAATGGTTTAAGTTCTATTCAGGAGCGCTCTTTGGTCCCTTTGACTTTTTTTTTTTTTTTTTAACTGCAAATATCAGAATTGTTTTATTTTTTTTTAATTAAATCTTATTGTTCAAATTATTACATTTGTTCCTCTTTTTTCCCCCCATGACTCCCCTCCCCCCAGTTCCCGCCCCACCCTCCGCCCTCACTCCCCACCCACTGTCCTCATCCATAGGTGCACAATTTTTGTCCAGTCTCTTCCCGCATCTCCCACACCCCTTTCCCCCCCAAGAATAGTCAGTTCATTCCCTTTCTATGTCCCTGATTCTATTATGATCACCAGATTATTTGTTCACTTGATTCTTAGATTCACTTGTTGATAGATGCATGTTTGTTGTTCATAATTTGTATCTTTACCTTTTTCTTCTTCTTCCTCTTCTTAAAGGATACCTTTCAGCATTTCATATATTACTGGTTTGGTGGTGATGAACTCCTTTAGCTTTTCCTTATCTGTGAAGCTCTTTATCTGACCTTCAGTTCTGAATGATAGCTTTGCTGGATAGAGTAATCTTGGTTGTAGGTTCTTGGTATTCATCACTTTGAATATTTCTTGCCATTCCCTTCTGGCCTGCAAAGTTTCTGTTGAGAAATCAGCTGACAGTCGTATGGGTATTCCCTTGTAGGTAACTGAGTTTCTTTCTCTTGCTGCTTTTAAGATTCTCTCTTTGTCTTTTGCTCTTGGCATTTTAATTATGATGTGTCTTGGTGTGGTCCTCTTTGGATTCCTTTTGTTTGGGGTTCTCTGCACTTCCTGGACCTGTAAGTCTATTTCTTTCACCAGGTAGGGGAAGTTTTCTGTCATTATTTCTTCAAATAGGTTTTCAATGTCTTGCTCTCTGTCATCTTCTGGCACCCCTATAATTCTGATGTTGGTATGCTTGAAGCTTTCCCAGAGGCTCCTTACACTATTTTCGTATTTTCGTATTCTTTTTTCATTTTGCTTTTCCGGTTGGGTGTTTTTTGCTTCTTCGCATTTCGAATCTTTGACTTGATTCTTGCGCTCCTCTGGTCTGCTGTTGGGTGTCTGTATAATATTCTTTATTTCAGTCAGTGTATGCTTAATTTCTAGTTGGTTCTTTATCACAACATTGAGGGTCTCATTAGATTTCTTGAGGATCTCACTACATTTATCGGCAGTTTCTAGAAAATTATTGAAAGACCTTAAAATTGCGGTTTTTAGCTCTATATCCTCCATTTCTGTCATGTTTCTTTGTCTCCGCATTTTTTATGCTTTCTTGGTGCACCCCCTTGTGGTCTTTGTGCGCAGTCTTGTTGTAGCTAAGCCTTGATTGTTGTCGGCAATACCAGGGGTGATTTGACCTCCAGGCCAACTGGCTATGAGGGTCAGCTGTGTCTGCAGTGAGAGAGCTTCTGTGCTGGATCTCTAGGGCGGTGCTAATCTAGCCTTTGCCTGAGGCTATCCGGCAATGCCTCTGTGCAGGGCTTGGGCAGGGCAGGTCCCCGGGGATCTACAGGGCGGGCTGGAGCGAGCAGTTATGGCTGCTCTCAGTCCCGTCCCTAGGGGCTCTGCCTCACAGAGTCCCAGCAACTGCTGCAAACCTCGGAGAGAAAGCTGCCTTCGAGTTCCAACCAAAGCCAGACAGTCCCGCTTCTCCCGTTTAAGTCTGGGTCCCTAGAGACTCGCCCGGATCTGGAGCTCAGAGTCTGAAACTCCCTCCCGATCGAAAACAACAACCGTGCCCTCCGCCGCCAGCCCGCTCTGCGCGCACTCCGCACCTTAGTATTTCACTTCAGCACTGCGCCTCCTCTGAGTCTGGGTATGATATTCTCTTTCCTTCTAGGTGTAGAATTTCCACTCAGCCAGCCTTCCTGTGGTTCTGGATGATGTCCGTTCCGTCTTTTAGTTATATTTTTGATTGGTTGTTCGAGGCAGCAATCTCCGGCGTTATCCTATGCCGCCATCTTGGTTTCTCCCTTTGACTTTCATTAGGACGTGGCTTCCAGGCCTGGCTGTGTTTGATGCTTCTTGGCTGCCTCTGGCCTGGTTGCTTCTCCAGTCTAAGTTTACTCCGTCTATCTGATGGTCAAAGTTAGGGGCTGAAGAAGAGGAGTGTGAGTTTGTTTTCTTACAAAGGTAAAATATATTTTCCCCAAGTTGTGGTTATTTCTCTAAAACTATCAATTTTTAAGGAATGAGTAAAATTCTTAGAAACCCCAAGGAAGAAAAAAACCTTATTTTCTAGCAGCCCTACTTTGTGGGGAAGCTTAAATAATTTGTACACATTTGAAAGGAAAGCAATCTTCAAAGAATGTATATAGAAATAATTTTTAAAGACAGCTTCCTGAATTACTTATTTAAATATAAATTTAGGATAATTTAAATCTCGATAATCCCCTAAATAGCAAGGCCTTTCCCCCCCTAATGTATTAAGAAGGAAATTGAGCAAATTTATGGTCCTATATAATAAAGAGCGAATATTCTAATTAGTCCGAATAGCAGAACGACCGTCCAGACGACCTTCCAGACTAAGCCAGGGCTGTGAGGGCAGGCTGAGGCTGTGCAGGGCTGGGAGGGCTGGCCAGGACTTCAAGGACCGAGCCCCTACACGACTTTCATGCATTGGGCCTCTAGTATTATAAATAGCGAGTTAAGGCAAACTGACTAAATTTTTTCAGACTTATTTATGATTAATATGAGGGAACAGTACTATTTTATTAATCTTATAAGATTTTTCTCTTCTATATTCTTTGTGGTTATGGCTGTCAATATCTATTCTCACGTTAAAAACAGTTTCAGGGATGAGATTAAGGGCCTGTAGTTTCAGATCCTTAGAGACTTGAATTACAACTTTCTATCTACATTTATTAAGAGTTAAAGGATAAATCTGGTGTAAGAAGTGGACAGAGCTGAAATACCTAGTGCTAAGCTTTACATCTGAGTAAACTATACAAGTAAGGGATGTAAACTAGAATTCCCAAGCTTTATTCAACAGAAGTTAACATAAAACTCAAAAGATCTCCATGCCATAAGTATTGAAAGGCATGTTATCTTTAGAAAATGAAGATGGATTAGGATTGAGAAGCATGGAACATAGAAAACTATATAAAAATCAGGAAGCATTTGCTTAAGCCACTGTAAGATTTTATTAACCTGTAACAATAATTTGACCTTGATGGTAGACAAATAAGATATTACAGTATTTTTTCTCCTTGTATCCCATGCTTATTAGGAAAATGGAGGCTTTTAGTCTAACAGTGATTTCAAGCATGAACTTTTTTAGAAACAGATTTTCTGTTAAGTCCCGGCTTCACTATTTACTAGGTGTGTGACTTTAGGCAAGATACTTAGTCTCTTTTCTCCTCAGTTCCCTCATCTGTGTAATGGGATAATCCTATATAATAAAAGGCTAGTATGCAAATTGACCAAACGGCAGAATGACGGGTCACTATGACGCGCACTGACCACCAGGGGGAAGATGCTCAATGCAGGAGCTGCCCCCGGTGGTCAGTGCACTCCCACAGGAGGAGTGCCACTCAGCCAGAAGCTGGGCTCATGGCACAGCGGTGGTGGCAGGAGCCTCTCATGCCTCCATGGCAGTGCTAAGGATGTCCAACTGCCAGCAGAGAGCAGGCCTAAGCCGTCAGTAGGACATCCCCCAAGAGCTCCCTGTGTGAGAGGGTGCAGGCCAGGCTGAGGGAAACCCCCCCGCCCCCCCAGTGCACGATTTTTGTGCACACGGCCTCTAGTAGAAGTATAATGGTTAATATTAGTTTATCTGACTCAGAATTATGAGGATTCAGGGAGTTAATAAATGTATAGCATTTAGAACCATATCTCTCACATGATGCTAAATAACTGCAGAAGTCAGAATTTTAGAAAATTGACAAAGAATACACTATTCAAAAAAAAGTAATAAAAAAAGTTCTGTTTATCAAGCATTAGTGTGTTTTTTTAGACATTGGTGGTGGTGGGCATCCCATGCAATTATTTTTGAAACAAACTGCCCTTGTCTTACACAAAACTAAAAATGATACTCTTGAAATCTTACAATCTCTTACAACTTTTACTACTAAGAGTTCTCCTTCAGAATGTTACATTTTTTTCCTTTGCCTGGATCCTGACTTTCTCTGTCCTGGTTTATACTGGCCCTGCTTCTTTTGACAGCATCCAGATGCCAGGATGACTATACAACAGCAAAGAAAGAGGACAGAGGTACAAAGAGCCACAGGAATCAACCACGTCTTTGAAGTCACAGATGTCCCATCTGGTGTTTTGTCTTCGTTCTCAGATGTGTGGTTTCTGCTGTTGTACCCTTTGGTTTTGTTCAGTAACTGCTTGCTGCTGTTGAGTCGGGATGGAATGGGCATATGAGAAAGTTTTGTGTCTATGGGCACAAAGAAAGGAGAAATAGTCTTGTTATCTGAATTGTTGATGAAATCAGCACTGGGTGACACCTTATTTTTTTTTGTGGCAATGGAACCATTCAGGGAAATTAATCTTGCCCAAGAATCTGTGGTTAATTCCTCGGAATACCTGGTATGGGTTGCGTTAACCAACTCTTGATGTGTGGTTGATGATGGAGCCTCTATTGATGTTAGCATTTGGTTTATCATGGTGGTTTGTTTATCTAAATTCATAGTTTTTAGATTTCTTAGTCTGTCCCATCTATCAGATGAAGAACGGGTATTTAGATATGTGGGAGGTGATTGTCCAAAAACCAGCAAATCTGGATCTATACCTGAAAGATAAATAAGGCATCATTCATGTCATTTCTATTTTAAAAGAAAGGACCATATTCCTGGCTGGTATGACTCAGTGGTTGAGCTTCAACCCAGGAAGCAAGAGGTGACCAGTTTGATTCCCTGTGAGGGCACATGCCTGGTTGCTGGCTCAATCACAGCAGGGATGTGTACAGGAGGCAGCTGATCAATGATGTTCCTCTCGCATCTATGTTTCTATTTATCCCTCTCCCTCCTCTCTCTCTAAAAATCAATAAAAACTTTTTTTTTTAAAGAAAGGACCATAAAATATAGTTTGGAGAAGTCTCAGGTTTTGCTGGTATGAGTTACTGAACTAAGATAACTGCTTACTTCTGAATGGCTTAGAAACATACTGGCCATATTTTATTTATCTTACCTTTCCAGGACATTTCCTTTTATGAACAGATTTAGCTATATCATGGAGAGTACTTCCTGTCTGCCAGTGCTTTGGGGCAACAATAGTGAGTGTTAGTGCAAGAGCTACAAAAACAGTAACCATTTGAGAGATATAGCACTTTTAAATAAACAAAGTAGGTCTTGAGCCTGGCCAACATGGCTCAGTGGTTGAGTATTGATCCATGAACCAGGAGGTCACGGTTCAATTCCCATTCAGGGCACATGCCCATTTGGGAGCTCGATTCCCAAAAGGGGGCGTGCAGGAGGCAGCCCATCAATGATTCTCTTATCATTGATGTTTCTAACTCTCCCTCTCTCTGAAATCAATAAAAATGTATTTTAAAAAACTAGGCCCTGAGCAGTGTAACTGTATTCAAATCATGAGCAAAACCCTAAATTTCATCCCTTTCCAGTGCCTGAGGGTCCTGATTTTGTCGTCACTGTTTTCTCTTATCTTGTAAACTAACTCCTTTTCTTCTGACTTCAGACCAGTGTAAATATTGCTTTGACTTTAAATGGGAAGAAAAAACTCTGAGTAGCTTTCCAATAGTCCCTGATAGCAATCTCCCTCCCTGTGCCCCTCTTCTCTCTCTCTTCCTCCCTCTCCCTTCCCTTCCCCAAACATTCCTACATCCATTTCCTTCATTTCTGACTTTAGTTTTTGCCACCTTAACTATTCTGGCAAAATTATGCTTCTGAGGTTATCAGTACAGTGGGGCCTTGACTTGCGAGTGTCCCGACTAACGAGTTTTTTGAGATACCAGCTGTCTCTCCAGGGATTTTTTGCATTGAGTTGACAGAGTAATTTGAGTTAACGAGCTCCTTAACGAGCTCAGTCTCGGAAAGAATTAAACTGGTAAGTCAAGGCCCCACTGTAGTTTCTTGTGGCTTCCCTCCTGTCCTTGATATTGCTGGCCACCCTTTTAAAAAACTTCTTCCATGACTCTCAGTAGAGTGCCTGCCTCTCATTCCCGCCCCCCTACCCCCCTTCCTTTTGCTGGTTCTTTTCTTGGTCCCAACTGGTTGTGCAATTTTCACAACCTTTAGTTCTTGGTCTTCCACTGTATTTTCTCTTCATCTCATACCCACTCCAAAGAGAGTTTTCTCATCAACTGTCACGACTACAATGATAGCACTGGAAACCACATGCCAGTTTCTTCCTCTCTCCTGAGCTCTGATCTCATTTCTCCTGTGTTCTACTGGAGGCAGACATGTCCTGTCATCACTGCACGTCCCCAAAGCCAGCATCATCTTGTCTGCCTCTGTCTGACACAGTAGCATTGCCATTCTGTCATCACTCATGGTGGAATCTGCCAGCCAAGTGATTTTGATTCCTCTCTTCCTATATCGAAAAAGTAATGCCATCCAATTCCTTCCCAATACGCTGGTCGCCATCCCTACTCATCCTTACACCTCCCATGACCTTGTCTGGATCCACTGCCTTCCTGACTGTGTTGTCTAACCTGCATCCTGCAGAGTTTTCCTAGGCTCAGAGCACCAGACACACCTTGAACGATGGCATTTTATCATTAGGTACCTTTTACTCTACTCTGCCCACAGCCCTTCTGGTACCTGGCCTACCCTACCTCCCCCATATTGTCAGTGTAGCCCCAAACATGCCCTGTTGTAGCCCCACCAGTGTTCTTACTTTCCCGTGGTGTGACGCAGAACTCCTTGTCCTGGCTCTTCCTTGAAGCCTCTGAATTATCTAGCTTGCTTTACTCTCCCCTTCTTTTGAGCCTTTGTAATTGTAAGACTTGTCACATCAACTAGATTTTTAAAAATTAAATTTAATGGGGTGACATTTGTCAACCTGATCATATACAACTAGATTTTTAAGGAGATTGAAGGCAGATACATGCTGCAGTCTTCTGCAATGTTGAGCACAGCCTGCACATTGATAAATTACCTCCTTTGTATTTTGATGATAAAAATCTATTCTTTTTTATGTTTATTGATTTGCACCTGAGATGATTATACACATGGGAAAAGGACACTTAAAATTTTTTTTCTAAAATAAAATATAATGGTTGTCTTAGGACCAATGATATGTTAATTCTAGAGGTCCAGTGCATGAAATTCGTGCACTGGGTGGGGGGGCTGTCCCTTAGCCCAGCCTGCACCTCTCCAATCTGGCATCCCTCTCACAATCCAGGACTGCTGGCTCCCAACCGCTCGCATGCCTGCCTGCCTGATTGCCCCTAACCGTTTTTGCCTGCCAGCCTGATCACCCCCTAACCACTCCTTTGCCAGCCTGATCGACACCTAACTGCTCCCCTGCCGGCTCGGTTGCCCCCAACTGCCCTCCCCTGCAGGCCTGGCTACCCCTAACTGCCCTCCCCTGCCGGCCTGGTCCCCCACACCCCCAACTAACCTCCCCTGCTGGCCTGTTCGCCCACAACTGCCCTCTCCTGCCAGCCATCTTGTGCGAGGGTGTGATGGTCAATTTGCATATTTTTATTATGTAGGATATGTAAGCCTTGGTGCAGTCATTGCCCCTGACATCCACCTTTGTAGAGTCTGTGTATGCAGTGTCTACAGGCCCCAGAACTACCGTTTAGCTTTCTTTTATTTCTTAGTGGTGTCCTCAGCCACAGCAGTAGAAATGCCTGTCTACTTTGGCTCCTGATGAGGGCTCATGTGATCAATGAAACATGATGCTTAACCTCTTGTTCAATCACTTGATTTGTTATCACCTGGGATAAACTCATCATTGCTGAACTTGTCATTGCTGAACATGTCAAACTAAAGGGAATTTCCTTTTAGTTTTCTATCCAGGATGCTAAAAACCTGTCTGCCTGAGTGCCCAGAGTTCACTGAAAAATAATGATTTAGGGATTCCTTCATGGCTATTGCCAGCTAGTTTCTAGGTCATGTGCCTCTATTAGGATATTAACAACATTCCTCAAAATACAAACAGAATAGAGACCATTACCGTCCGTTACGTTATATAAAATGGCACTGGTTCCAGGCTCCAATATGCAGCTTTCCAGCGTCGGGCAGTGGATATGGAGGCAGTTGACATTGTCATGCATGGGATCGTGGTAGAAGACAGCCAAGTTACAGGCAACTGGAAGGGAACAGGCAAAGTACCTCTGCAGTGGTCCTGACTTCTGCCCCTTTGATGAGCTCTGAGAACATATTTCTTTCAAGAACATCGGATTACACCTACTGACTTCTTCTAAGTCATCTTTCATATATTCCCTCCCATATGGGATCACCTAGAACAGTGATGGTGAACCTTTTGAGCTCGGCGTGTCAGCATTTTGAAAAACCCTAACTTAACTCTGGTGCTGTGTCACATATAGAAATTCTTTGATATTGGCAACCATAGTAAAACAAAGACTTATATTTTTGATATTTATTTTATATATTTAAATGCCATTTAACAAAGAAAATTTAACCAAAAAAATGAGTTCGTGTGTCACCTCTGACACGCGTGTCATAGGTTCGCCATCACTGACCTAGAATCATTTCCCAATCCCATGAAAAAGTCAATTGGCTACAAAAACTTCTGAGGATATGGATATATATTCAGATTTCTAGGCGCAGTAGCCCTCTCAGAATGCTAAAGTACTGGAGTTCACCAGAGAAAGAAGTGGGAAAATGAAGTGACAACTACTGAATCAGAAGAGGGAATAACAGGAAGGGCAAAAATAGCAATGACTACATTACTGGGTGGGGCCAGATGGTGGGAAGGCAGCTGGCCTTGACCCTGACTGCAGGTGTGCTCTGGCCCTATGGTGCAAAAGCACATCCAATGGACAGCACAATCAGTGTCCTCCGGGAGTAGAGAGAGAAGAATGTCAGCATTTGGATTTGAGCAATTTCCCTCATGTTCAGAAGTAGATTGATGCCACGAGAAAATGGTGAGAAGATACTGCCTCTCCCTGCGCACTCCCCCCCCACCCCCCTCAGTGAAAGTGTCTGGAATTAAAAGCATCTCTTAGAAGTACATTATTTGCTCATCTTATTTCCCTTTTTCTAAGTAAGATTACTCCTTAAAATATATGGTGTTATTGCTGGAAAACCTAAAGTCACATTTGTTTTTTGTTTTGTTTTTTTTTAACATATTTTATTGATTTTTTACAGAGAGGAAGGGAGAGGGATAGAGAGTTAGAAACATCGATGAGAGAAACATCGATTAGCTGCCTCCTGCACACCCTCTACTGGGGATGTGCCCGCTACCAAGGTACATGCCTTTGACCGGAATCGAACCTGGGACCCTTGAGTCCGCAGGCTGACGCTCTATCCACTGAGCCAAACTGGTTAGGGCTAAAGTCCTATTTGTTGAATGCAGATCTTCAGTCTGTCCTCCCTAACGTGCAACATATATTTCCCTGCTGCCCTGGAGTGGGAACCACTTGATGGGGAATATCCATTGGCCAAAAGGTATCAACTCCTCTAATAAAATAATATTACAGAGCCATGGTGTACGATTACCAGACCTCAGCGATGCTGAAAGCTGCTGTGGAATTGCTGTTGCTGAACCTGTACTCCTGTGTAAGGTGATCTGTGGGAAGTGTCTGTCCCCCATTACTTCTGGGACACCCATGTTTCTGCACTGTGTACTTTTCCAGTAGGAGAAAGAATGGGACAAAAGTCAGTAATACAGCCCTAGCTGGTTTGGCTCTATGGATAGAGCGTCAACCTGTGGACTGAAGGATCCCGGGTTCAATTCCAGTCAAGGGCACATGCCTGGGGTTGTGGGCTCTATCCCCAGTAGGGAAAATGCAGGAGGCAGCCGATCAATGATTCTCTCTCATCATTGATGTTTGTATCTCTACCTCTCTCTTCCTCTCTGAAGTCAAAAAAATGTATTTTTAAAATGTCATTAATACATTGCTAATACATCACAGATTACAAACACATTCCCTGAGGCTATGCTGTAAAGTCTAAAGCAGCGGTTCTCAACCTGTGGGTCGCGACCCCTTTGGGGGTTGAACGACCCTTTCACGGGGGTCGCCTAAGACCATCGGAAAACACATATATAATTACATATTGTTTTTGTGACTAATCACTATGCTTTAATTATGTTCAATTTGTAACAATGAAAATACATCCTACATATCAGATATTTACATTATGATTCATAACAGTAGCAAAATTACAGTTAGGAAGTAGCAATGAAAATAATTTTATGGTTGGGGGTCACCACAACATGAGGAACTGTATTAAAGGGTCACGGCATTAGGAAGGTTGAGAACTACTGGTCTAAAGGCAAGGAATAAAAAATATTCAATTTTCGACATTAAATTTCTGATAAGAAAGTTGGTGCTGTAGGGAACAGTTTTTACATCTCCATGTACATTTGGGGTCCCTTCTGAGCAGGTTCGCTATTGCAGGATTGTGGCATTTTTAAGATCTGGCTTCGAGCTGGAAACTGAGAGGTGTGTTTGTGCCATTTCTTCTGGAGAAAGACAGTCACAACTTGGAAGCCACAGGATGCTTCCTGGAACTCGACTAGATGCTTGTACTGTACTGAAGGTCCAGAGGCCACGGCTTCCCTCGTGTTCAGAGGTAAATTGATGCCAGGAGAAAATGCAGAGAAGGCACACCCTCCCCCACAGCCTGTCAGTGAAGGTGTTGGGAATGAGAAGAATCTCTAAGGTGAAAATCTGGGCCCTAGCAAATTTGGTTCAGTGGACAGAGCGTAGGCCTGCAGACTGAAGGGCCCCGGGTTTGATTCTGGTCAAGGGCACATGCCTGGGATGTGGGCTTGATCCCCAATAGGGGTGTGCAGGAGGCAGGAAGCAGCCAATCAGTTCTTCTCTCTCATCATTGATGTTTCTATCTCTCCCTTCCTCTCTGAAATAAGTAAAAATATATTAAAAAAAAAATAGCCAAGTGGCATATGAGGGGATACCTGTATTTTTTTGAAAAACTGGATTGGCTACCTTTTCAAAAGATTTCCCTTTAATAAATTAATTGCTCTCCTCTGTGCCTGATTAACTTCTGAGGACTTAGCCTGTGACAGCATCGCACACTGTGGTCTTTTGACAGTTTTTTTAAAAAATTTTTTTGACAGTTAGTTTAGATTCTCCAAGTAACTCTAATTTGCATTCCAAAAATCTTACATGCATATTGGATAGGAGGCATCAGCAATTAACAAGTCAGAATCCAACCACGGAAAGAAGGTGTGGAACAACCAAGAGAAATAATTTAAAGTGGTGTGTAGCTTTGTTGCTTCTTTTTAAGTAGCTTTAACATCTTGGAAGAATGAAAAATAAATGAAAGAAGTCTTTAGACAATTGCAAGTTAAAATTCTGTAACAATGAAATATTTTCCTAAGTACAGGCTTCTGTGGATGTTCTATGGATGACAGTAAATCCTGATTCTGGATTGCAGACTAAACATATCTGTTAGGATATTTTGAAAATTAATCTCTCCTTTCTTCCTTATCTTTTTGTTTATCTATTTGACATATATCTCCTTATTTGTTTCAAAATATGAATCCAATCTAAATTCCTGTTTAATTTGGTCAACACAAGCAAACATATTTAAAAATTTTGAACTGATATCAATATCACCAAAAGAACTTTGAAAAGGAAATTATTTGTAAAATTAAATATGCTGTTTTGGGCTATAGGAATGTTGTTAGTTGACACTTGGAGAAATATTTTAATTTTGCACTTCAGTGAAGGAAAGAGGATTCTCTGTTTCCTGTAGATTCCATAGCATTTGGGGTCATGGCTAGGTTTATAGATCAAGCCTACACTGTCCCAAATGGCAAAGTCAGTCTCAATGTCTCTCCATCCCCCGCTCTTCTCCCTCATCTCAGGGCATCTTCCCTAGTTCATTGCACCCTCTGCCCAGGACTCCTTACTTAGGTCTTCATTTTGGAAGTTTCCTCTTAGTTTTGCTCAGCCATATCATTGACACTTACCATCCTTCCTCAGACAGCAGCTCCTACTGCATTTCTGGCCAGTGCTTTCAGAATAATACCTCAAGAACTGAGCTCCCATCTTCTGAGACTCCTCCAGGTCGACCAGAAGACCCGGGAAGCGACGGATCCAGCAGTCCCTGTAAAAAATGGTGGGTGAGCAGAGGGCGTCTGAAGTCCACCCCATGCTTAGGAGCAAGATCACGTCTGCTGCCACCACCGCCACATGCATTTCCCTGGTAAGGAGATTCGGCAAGAAGTCTGACGTCCAGGCAGAAGCTGGAGCTGACCATCAGGGTTTAGGGCAGTTTCTGGGCTTCGGGGCTGTTGCTAAGGAACAGCTTCCTTGGAACTCTCCTGGAGGGTCACGTTCTAGAAAAACGAGGCTGTTCTTTGACTGCATATTGATTTTTCTTTCGTTTCTTCCCGGTTGAATCCCAGGTGAACATTTGATTTGCTGGTGTTAAATTCTGAACACTTTTCAGGCCATTTCAATACTTTGTCCTTTAGCCTCTTAAAGATGTGGGTTCTCTCCTCTCCTTTCTTCTTTCTCTGAAAGTGAATCACCACAAACACCTTTTACTAAGTAAATATAAAGGCAAGTGGAAATCCTAGCCAAGTGTCTTTCTGAGGACAACAATAGTTTAGTCATTTGACGTCAGATAAAGGAGGATCCATTTCACCAGAAACAAGACATCATTTTGTAAGGAACTTGTGTGACCACAGACTTTTCCCCCCCAATCTCCTTTTCCCCTGGTATAAAATTTTTGTTTTCACTTAAAAAAAAAAAAAGAAAAAGAAAAAAGAAAGAAACCTTGAAAGTAAATGAAAACTGAATATAAAATTAAAGTTTTTAATTTTGCTGTGATTTTGAAAACATTGAATATGGATCCTGATCACTTCTCAGGGCGAGGCATTTGTTTTTTGCCAAAGCCAGACAAAAGCTTTCTTAAAAGAAGACTACAAAGATTCTGCAAAAAGAACAGCCTCATAATGTAGATGGAATACAGCACCCATTAAGGTGTATATTGTCCAATCAAAAATAAAAGGTGTAATTCACAATGAAAATTGTGAAGACGTTCAAGTTGGGAGTTGGGATTTGTCTGATCTGCTTTCTGATATTCACGTTTGGAAGTTATAAAGTAGCCTTCTTGGTGAAGCCGATTCATAAAGACACAGTATCTCTGATTGAAGCAGAGGAGTTGCCAAGAAATGTGCATTAGGAAAATGGTAAAGTGTTGTTAAATTTCTAAATATTAATAAAATTACTTTCATGGCAATGCTAAACATTGAACATATATTAAAGGCAGTGAAACTAGCCTCTTACTTTCATGAAGACTGTATGTTTTATGTCCCAGGATATTCAAGATGACATTAGTTCAAAGCATAAAACTTGCTTTTTTTGGTTTCCATTTTACACAGAGCACCAGTGGTAATCAGCTTTGGGCATAAAGTACTACTCTTTTTTTCATTCAAGTAAACTTTTCCTATCCTGGGATCTATATTTCTTCCCTACTTTTTTGCACAATGACTCATTCACTAACTTGACAGAAATTAACATTCTTTGAACTTTCATCTCACCACCTCTTTCCTAATAGTAGCCTAACTATCACATCTTTTGAGTTTTAGAAACATAAATATTAATAATCAATAATAAAGAGGAAAATATTCAAAACACTGAATGACTTTAAAAACAAAACATTTGCCCTACCTGGTTTGGCTTACTGGCTAGAGCAGTGATGGGGAACCTTTTGAGCTCGGCGTGTCAGCATTTTGAAAAACCCTAACTTAACTCTGGTGCCGTGTCACATATAGAAAATTTTTGATATTTGCAACAATAGTAAAACAAAGACTTATATTTTTGATATTTATTTTATATATTTAAATGCCATTTAACAAAGAAAAATCAACCAAAAAAATGAGTTCGCGTGTCACCTCTGACATGCGTATCATAGGTTTGCCATCACTGGGCTAGAACATTGGCCTGCGGACAGAGGGTCCCAGCTTCCATTCCGGTCAAGGGCACATACTTAGATTGCATGCTCGATCCCCAGCCCTGGTTGGGGCTCATGTGGGAGGTAACCAATTGATGCGTCTTTTTTACGTCCATGTTTCTCTCTGTCTCTCCCCCTCCCTTTCACTCTCTCTAAAAACCAATAGAAAAATATCCTCGGGTGAGGATTAAGAACAACAAAAAACGTTTACTTTCTTCCAGGCAATAATTACATTACGTGTTAACTCCTACCCTTGCATAAGCCACATAAAATACACTGAAAATGATATATATTTTATTCTAATGAACTCATAGAAAGCAAGTTTCAGGTGCTTACCTGCAAACAATCTGACTATTCAATCTGTTCCATGGGGAGAGGGGAGACAAGCTCCCTAATGGCAAAGCAAGGAGCAGATGAACAAAAAATTACCCCTGTTTTTCTATGAGATTGCATCGCTATTCTGGTTAGTTCATGCCCTGGGAGCATAAACCAGAAAGACTACTTTCTAACCTCGTAACCTCCACATCTTTCATCACATCAAATGTAGGTTCTTTTGTGTGATCTAATTCCTTGACGTTCTCATGTTCCCTGCAGGGATAATGGAACAATCCACAATTGTTCAATCCTTTTGCTATCGAATGATGTTCAAGTGAAGGTCAAAGTTGCATTTTGGAGCGGGACAGTGAGGGTGGGGTGGGAAGAGGACATCTGTAATGCTTTCAACAATAAAGATAAATTTAAAAAAATTAAATCTACAAATTCCAATGTAAAGGCATGCTTCAAAATTTTATAAACTTTTTTTGGTGATTGCATAAATATTGAGCCTTGGAATGAGTAACTTCTTAAAGCCAAGTATTTTGAAAAGGAGAGCTGGAACATGGACCACAGGGCGCAGGGAGGATTACACAACGGGCATAGAGATGGGGCCCAGCCACATCTAGTCTCAACCGTGCCCATGTGAGATGAAATTGCAGAAACCAGAAAGCAACTACAACTCTGAATAAAACATTGCTAAAGAGCTTTGAAATACCCAGGATCTTTGCACTATTGCCATGCGGTGATATATTGTACTTATTTCCAAGAGGGTACTCTTGAGAGAAGTTCAAAAATTAGATTTCTGCCTTAAAAGCCACTCATCTTTCCCAAGAGCCTGGTTCAGTAGCTCTGGTGTGGGAAGCAGAATTCTTATTTTTATAAATAAATGCCCCAGATGACTTCCTAAGATGTCTGAAAAGCACTGATATAGGTGATTGAAATAAATGGAAGTTTTGTCTCTGTGTATATGTTCAACCTAGTTTATATAGAGCCATTTTAAGAACTGTGCTACTTTAAATTGCTCCATATGCTTTAAGAAAGGAAAATTTGACGTGGCTTGTTAAAACAAATAAAAAAGTTGTCCTAGTCCTAGCTGGTTCGGCTTAGTGGCTAGAACGTCGGCCTGTGGACCCAAGCGTCCTGGGTTCGACTCCGGTCAAGGGCATGTATTTCAGTTGCAGTCTCCTCCCTGGCCAGGGCCCTGTTTGGAGCAAGTGCAGGAGGCAATCAATCGATATGTTTCTGTCACATCGATGTTTCTCTCTGTCTTTCCCTCTCTCTTCCACTCTCTCTAAAAATCAACGGAAAAATATTCTCGAGTGAGGATAAAAAAAAAAGTTTTCTAGGAATATTGGAGGGACTGAAAAATAAAGATAATTTTTAAGTGGTAGTGAAGTAATAGCACAGGTTTACTAAATTCAAAAGAGGTTTGCCAAAACCGGTTTGGCTCAGTGGATAGAGCGTCGGCCTGCGGACTGAAAGGTCTCAGGTTCGATTCCGGTCAAGGGCATGTACCTGGGTTGCGGGCACTTCCCCAGTGGGGGATGTGTAGGAGGCGGCTTATTGGTGTTTCTCTCTCATCGATATTTCTAACTCTCTATCTCTCTCCCTTCCTCTCTGTAGAAAATCGATAGAGTATATTTAAAAAAAAAAAAAAAAGATGTTTGAAAAACAGTCAATATTTCATCCTTATTTTAAAGATGCTAATTGTGTATTTACTGAACATTTTCATTTCATCACTTGATAAAATTGATGCAAATTTTAAAGAAATCGGGTCTGAGAAATATAAATGTCATACATTTTTTAAAAAGTGTTTTGTTTTATTAAATTGCTATACATTCATTTAAAAGAACCAGACCATATAGAAAAATATAAAAAGAAATAAAAACTATTCAAGATCTTATAATCTTAACATTTTGGAAAATCCTTCTAGGCATCTCTAAAAAACAGATGCATGTACACAATTTTGCGTGAATGGATTCATAGTGGTTTAGAACCTGAGTCTTTTTTTTTTTTTTAAATCTCCACCCGGGATATGTTTTTACTGATTTTTAAAGAAGGAGAGAGAAACATTGATGTGAGAAAGAAACAGCGATTGGTTGACTCCTGTATTCACCCAACCTGGGATTGAACTTGCAACCTAGATATCTGCCCTGACTGGGATTCGAACCCACAACCTTTTGGTGTATGGCCACTGAGCCACCCGGCCAGTGCTAGAATTTGTTTGTTTGTCTTTTAATCCATTATAAATTTATATTTTTCAGAGTCTCTAAAGCAGTGGTTCTCAACCTTTGGGTCGCGACTCCGTTGGGGGTCGAATGACCCTTTCACAGGGGTCGCCTAAGACCATTGGAAACCACATATATAATTACATATTGTTTTTGTGATTAATCACCATGCTTTAATTATGTTCAATTTGTAACAATGAAAATACATCCTGCATATCAGATATTTACATTACGAGTCATAACAGTAGCAAACTTACAGTTATGAAGTAGCAACGAAAATAATTTTATGGTTGGGGGTCACCACAACATGAGGAACTATATGAAAGGGTCGCGGCATTAGGAAGGTTGAGAAGCACTGCTCTAAAGGAAGATGTCTACATCAAAAGTTGTAATCGCTCTGATATTTCATTCTCTGTATGTGTGAAAATTTGCTCTGCACCGCACCTTCCTCAGCTCTGAAAGAGTATAAAAATAGTACTGCAGTCTGGGTAAAGCCCAACAGTGCCTGGCACTATTATGTATAATGATAACATTCAGTAAATGGTAACAGCAATTATTATACATTGTTTCCCAATTTTTTTATTGTTAAAGCAAAATTAAGATAAACATCTTGTACTTACATTTTCCCCCATTCTAGGTCAAAAGGTATATTTTCCATAAATTCTTAAAGAACTAGCCTAACTCTGTGTTTGACCATTATTTTAGCCTCTGTAAAAAAGATGATGATGTAAAGTGCTTGAAGTGAATCATAGCTACCACAAAGGCCTGTCTTTGTTATTCAGTGATCAGTCAATAACAGATCTATAAACTTATGCCTTCAGGTATATATAAGCAATATTTTCATGAGCTTAGACATAATATTTTACATCCTTTGTAAATCAAAGACTTTATATTGCTCTTCTAGTTTAACAGAAATCTTACTGTGTGCTATTTAAAAGACTCAATCTTTTAAGATGCTTCCAGTACTAAATGATGTTATCCTGTCAGGACCAAGAAGCTTACAGGATCAGTGCCCAGTGTTGTCAAACTAACACCCCAGATTCCCTGTCCGAGTTGATCTTGCTCTGATAATATTACCATGGGAGATTTGCCTTTCTAAAGCACATCATTCTTTGAGCGTGATTTTTTTTTTTTTTGGCCTGTTTTTAAAAGGCAAGAAAATACCAGTCTGAGGCGTATCTATAACGGTTGGGAAACAAAAGCGCCATTGGTGAAAGATTCTAAAGGGCTGAGGAGAGACTAAGAGCCTGTTCTTCTTGGTGACCACTGAACCTGGCATTGTCGCTGATGGAGGCACAAATACACCCCAGGTCCAAATCTCTTCAAGGCACGGGGTGCCTCCCAGGCCCAAGTTCCCCAGCTAAATGCCTGGTCCTGGACATGGCACTTTATCAACCAAAGAGGTTGCTAAAGTCATGGTTACTCACCCCCCAAGAACCTTAGAATGTCTCAACTGCACCCTCATTGAGGACAAGGTGAAAGGTCCAGGTGAGAATGACGTTTGATTAGTGATGATAAAGGCCAGGTGGAGTAAGGTGAAAAGCTAGAAGTTTTTTTTCATGGAATCTAAGAGGCAAGTCATTCATCCATCTTTATTTCCTTCGCTTTTTCCAGGGAGGCCAGAATCTACTTGATTTTTTTTTTCTATGTCTTTAAAATTTTAGTTCCTTATTCATGGTGGATTTTAAAGAAAATAATGGGTGACATCACCTTACTGTGAAGCAGCTAAGTTGCATCGAGAGAAGCACAAATGGAAGCAAACAATGTGTTGAAAGAATTTCTTGTTTTACAGATAGGACTGTCTTCTCTGGTTTTGAACTTCCGCCATCCTAAGTTAAAGTGTTAAGCATTGGAGTATCTTCTGTTCGAAATAGGGGAACCGTACTTGTTAAGGTGTTATTTAACAATTTGTTATTCAGGAAGAAAAATGAAGCTTGTAATAATAAAACCAATGTCCAAATACATAAAAAACAAAACAAAACACATATTCTCCCCAAGTTAAGGACTATCATGGTTGGTTCTCAAATCTTGGTGTGGGAAAGTTTTCAGGGCTGTTTTGTAAGATAAGAGTGAACCACCGCCTCCTCCCTCCCAATCCTGTCCCTCCCCAGGATTAATTCATATCTCATGGCAACCCAAGGTCCTTCGTGTTATGTGGGGTGAGCTTTCTAGTATTTGCAATGTGAGGAAAGACAAGGAAGAAGTGGCCCTTCCTTAAGCAGTTAGTCCTCAGTGTGAGGGTAGGGGGTGGAGGGAGGGGAAGGAAGGATAACGGGGGGGGGGGGGGGGGGGGGCAAGAAAAGCCGCCTCTCTAGGCCAATATGAGCAAAAGTGGCCCGGCTTTCTGCTCAATGATAACATTTCCTAATGGCTAGTCCAACAAGCCGGAATAGGGAAAGCAACGACTTTCCTATATGTTAGAAAGTATTTTAAAAGAGGGCACGAGATCTAACTTTAGTTGAGTTGTACTTCTTTCTTTTAATAGCATTAGTCGGATAACGGGCCGCAGCAGCAAATACAAGCTCTTCTGCTTCCCAGGCCTTTATTCCGGGTGCACCCCATGCTCTGAGCCCCGCAGGACCTGCTGCCAACTGGCTGGACTCTGCAAGATGGCTCCTGCACAATGACAAGTCCCAGACGCAGCTGTAGGTGCCACCTACGCGACCCGAGGCTGCCAGTGAGCCTCAGCCCCTGGGACACGAAGCGGGGCTGGGCCAGAGGGGCGATCCCAGAGGCGATGTTTCCTTGACTCCCTGGACCCCAGACTTTCCTCACCCCTTTCCTCCCACGCCGGTCTCCCTGGCTTTTTGTCTTGCCCCCTCGTACAGCAGCGTCTGGAAGGGAAAGCAGACTGGCTGCGTCTCGCCTCCAGTCCCCGGGCGGGCGAGCACCGCTGCAGACCCCGCAGGCTGCAGAGCCGCCGCGCCCGGCGCGCGGGGGAGGCTGCGGGGCCGCGCTGCCCGCCCCCCGCGCCGCCGGGTCGGAGGCCCGCAGCCGCCAGCCCTCCCGGGAAGCCGGGGCCCGCCCGCGGGTCTGCGGGCCGCAGGGGTCCTGCGGGCGGAAGTGCGGAGCGCGGCGTGGGAGGAGGCGGCGCGGGCCGGGGCTGGGTCCGCTCCCGGCTGACGCGGCCCGGGACGGCCCGCGCGGGGACCGCCGCCTCCCCACGCCCGGCGCGCGCCCGCCGGCCCTTGTTTGGCGTTGAGCGCGCCCGGGAGGACAGGGTCGCCGCTCGGGGGCAGCGCGACGGAGCCCAGCGGCCGGGCCCGGGAGGAGGGGCTGCCCCAGCGGTGCCGCCGCCACCCAGATCTGCCGGCCTCCTCCTCCTCCTCCTCCGGCGCCAGCCCCCGGCGCGCCCAGCCGGAACCCGGCGAGCGCGGGGCGGAGAGGCGAGCGCGCAGAGCTGGCGGGCCCCGCCGCGGCCCCCGCGGCCCCCGCCATGTCGGCGGAGGAGATGGTGCAGATCCGCCTGGAGGACCGCTGCTACCCGGTGAGCAAGAGGAAGCTGATCGAGCAGAGCGACTACTTCCGCGCCCTCTACCGCTCCGGCATGCGCGAGGCCCTGCGCGCCGAGGCGGGCGGCCCCGAGGTGCAGCAGCTGCGCGGCCTGAGCGCCCCGGGCCTGCGCCTGGTGCTGGACTTCATCAACGCCGGCGGCGCCCGCGAGGGCTGGCTCCTGGGCCCGCGGGGCGACCAGGGCGGGGGCGCGGCGGCCGAGGAGGAGGACCTGGACGAGGCGAGCCTGCTGTCCGAGCTGGTGGAGGCGGCCTCCTTCCTGCAGGTCACGTCCCTGCTGCAGCTGCTGCTGTCCCAGGTGCGGCTCACCAACTGCCTGGAGCTGTACCGCCTGGCGCAGGTGTACGGGCTGCCCGACCTGCAGGAGGCCTGCCTGCGCTTCATGGTCGTCCACTTCCACGAGGTGCTGTGCCAGCCCCAGTTCCACCTCCTGGGCTCTCCTGCGCCAGCCCCCGGCGATGGCAGCCTGAAGCAGAGGCTGAGGGAGGCCCGGATGACGGGGACTCCGGTCCTCGTGGCCCTGGGGGACTTCTTGGGGGGACCCTTGGCCCCTCACCCCTACCAGGGGGAGCCTCCGTCCATGCTCAGGTATGAGGAGATGACGGAACGTTGGTTCCCGCTGGCCAACAACCTTCCTCCCGACCTGGTGAACGTCCGGGGGTACGGGTCTGCCATCCTGGACAACTACCTCTTCATCGTGGGCGGGTACAGGATCACCAGCCAGGAGATCTCCGCTGCGCATTCCTACAACCCCAGCACCAACGAGTGGCTCCAGGTGGCCTCCATGAACCAGAAGAGGTAAGCACGCAGCAGAGCTCTGCTGCCTCCTCCTTCATTGCCCTCCTGTTTGCCGGGCAGTCGCCGGAGGCTGTGCTGAGGTGGGAATGGCACCTCGGGACTGTGGTTGGCCTTGAAGCTGGCCAAGCTCCCAATGCACTAAGGACTTTAAAGGAAGAAAAGGCCCCAAGGAAGTCTGCAAGCTGAGTGGTTTCCTTGCAGGTATTGTGCCTGTAGGCCAGCTGCGTTCTTGGCCTTTATCCCAGTGGGAGAAAACATGTGGTGGTTTCCTAAGATGCTTAAAACTGTTCTTTAATTTTGCTTTTATTTTTACCTTTATTTTATTTTATTTTTTTTAGGCGCCGATCCTGATAATGATGACACATTGGGCAATAACCTGTATCCCTGACTTTGGGGGATTGTTTGTTGATGTTGTTAATGACTTTCGAGCTTCCCACACTGGAGCGCCACAGGAGATGATATTTGGGATTGTGTTAATATTATCTGTATAGGACTGTCTTTCTTATTTTTTTATCCTCTCTTTTGCATCTCACTTCCTCCCCAGATTGTCATCATTATTGACCCAAAGCTTGAGTCTGGAAGTGGTCACCTACCGTATTAGAATATTTCCACCCACCTCAACCTTCTCCCTTCCCATCCTGCAAAACCCTCCCAATATGAACTTGGGTGACTTAAACAAAGGAAGAGAAAAGCGGGGATAGAAAAAGGAGTCAGGAAAGGAATAGGAAAACAGAAGCAAAGCAGATACAGGAAGAGGTGGTAGGAAATAGAGATGGTAGAGCCCAAGATGAGCCAGAGCCATTCAGAAGTGGGAGAAGAATCAATGTAACCCAAGAAAGGACAAGAATACAAGAATACCCTTTCTTCTGGTCCACCTGTATCCATCTCCAGCGCCCCATGCTTCCTCCCCTGAAGTATGGAGCAAGGAGTCAGGGGACTCACCACTTCTTAAAGAAAGTCTTAACAGGAATGGGGAAGCCATTACACATGTTTACTTCACTTGAGGGGCACCCCAGGCCAGGGGGAACACTAGCTTTATTTCTAACTATAGTGTACGTGTTCCTTTTTCTAATGATTAAAAATAATATGTAATTATTCTAGAAAATTGGAAAAAGGAAAAGAATAAAGAAGCAGAAAGGCTATCACTGCTACTCCCTCCTTCCTAGAGGCAGTAGCCATCTACAGGTTAGCATATTTTCTTTCAGCCCCTTTTTAGCTAAGATGACATCATATTTAAAAATTGATGTCAGGAATATTATTACTATTATTTTTTAAAATACATTTTTATTGGTTTCAGAGAGGAAGGGAGAGGAAGAGAGAGATAGAAACATCGATGATGAGGGCGAATCATTGATTGGCTATCTCCTGCACTCCCCCCACTGGGTATAGAGCCAGCAACCTGGGCATGTGCTCTGACCAGGAATCGAACTGCCACCTCCTGGTTCATAGGTCAGTGCTTAACCATTGAGCCACTCCAGTTGGACAAGAATATTATTTTTAAACAAATTCTAGGAGCTTTACTTAAAGCAACAAAGAAACATTCAGTGGTTATGAGTGATGCTCAGATTAGGGGTGTAAGGCCCAGCAGGTTGTCTGTCACCTCTACACAGGTGTCTTCTGCTGTATCAACTGGTGCTCAGCACACCTCCCATAGTTCCACAACTCTCTCACTAAACCTCATAATTCTTTTCTTTCTTTTTTTGTTAAAATATATTTTATTGATTTTTTACAGAGAGGAAGGGAGAGAGATAGAGAGTTAGAAACATCGATGAGAGAGAAACATCGATCAGCTGCCTCCTGCACATCTCCTACTGGGGATGTGCCCACAACCCAGGTACATGCCCTTGACTGGAATCGAACCTGGGACCCTTCAGTCCGCAAGCCGACGCTCTATCCACTGAGCCAAACCGGTTTCGGCTCTTTTCTTTCTTGATAAATCTTTGGTAGTCTTCTGTACCTCTCCCCCCCATGCCCACCCCAAGGAATATCCTTTCAGTCCTCTTTGAAAAAAAATAAAAGTATTCGAGTAATGCCTGAATTCATGCTTAGAAAATTGCAAATGACATGAAAAATTATTATAGAGTAAAAAAGTCTATCTATAGACATTCTTAAATATATTTAAATATATATTAATACTTATGAATTATAAATGTATATTCATATAAATATGTTGATAGTGCTTAATAGGGGAAAATGATGTACATGGGGTGTGTATATATAACATACATGTATATTTTTACTCAAATTGATTAAGTTATGCTGATTATTATAGCACTTGATATTTCCACTTGACATTATTGTAGCTGACAGTTTTTTCTATATCAACAAACAGATCCACCCCAGCCTTGTTAATGGCTATGTAGTATTTCAGCCCGTGTATGTACCATAATGTAATTAACTTCTCCCTTATTCATGAACATTTAGATGACTGCCATTTGCCATTATAAACAACTAGAGGCCCGGTGCACAAACATTTGTGCACTCGGGGTGGGGGGTCCCTCAGCCCAGCCTATTCTCTCTTGCAGTCTGGGACCCCTCGGAGGATGTCCACCTGCTGGCTTAGGCCTGCTCCCTGAGGGGACGGGCCCGAACTGGCAGTCAGACCTCCCTCTGGCAGCCCGGCAGCCCTCAGGGGATGTCCACTTACCAGCAGGGAGCAGACCTAAGCTGCAGTCAGACATCCTTAATGCTGCTGAGAGGCTCCCGCCACCACCTCTGTGCTGGCAGCCATCAGCCTGGCTTGTGGCTGAGCAGAGCTCCCCCTGTGGGAGCGCACTGACCACCAGAGGGCAGCTCCTGCATTGAACGTCTGCCCCCTGGTGGTCAGTGTGTGTCATAGTGACCAGTCATTCCCAGTCGTTCTGCTGTTAGGGTCAATTTGCATATTACCCTTTTTATTATATAGGATAGAGGCCTGGTGCATGGGTGGGGGCCAGCTGGTTTGCCCTGAAGGGTGTCCTGGATCAGGGTGGGGGTCTCATTGGGGTGCCTGGCCAGCCTGGGTAAGGGGCTGATGGGTGTTTGCAGGCTGGTCACACCCCCTTCAAGCTGGGGGTCCCCATTGGGGTGCCTGGCCAGCCTGGTGGAGGGGCTGATGGTGTTTGCAGGCTGGTCACACCCCCTTCAAGCTGGGGGCCCCCACTGGGGTGCCTGGCCAGCCTGGGTGAGGGGCTGATGGTGTTTGCAGCTGGTCACACCCCTTTCAGGGTGGGGGTCCCCACTGGGGTGCCTGGCCAGCCTGGGTGAGGGGCTGATGGCTGTTTGCAGGCTGGCCACGCTCCCTTTAGGGTGGGGGGGTCCCCACTGGGGTGCCTGGCCAGTCTGGGTGAGGGGCTGAGGGCCGTTTACAGGCGGCCAAGCCCCCCCCCGGTGACGGAAGCTCCCAGTCTCTCCTTTTTTTCTTTTTTTTTTCTTTTTTATTCTGGGATTTATTTACCTTCTGTAATTAAAACTTTGTAGCCTTGAGAGGAGCGCAGAGCCAGCCAGGGCAGGAGGGAAGCTTGGCTTCCTCCACTGCCAGGGGCAATCCAAGCCGCCTGCTCGCTCCAGCTCCGTGGTTGCTGGCAGCCATCTTGGTTAGGCTAATTTGCATATAGTCACTCTGATTGACTGGTGGGCGTGGCTTAAGGCATAGCGAAGGTACGGTCAATTTGCATGTTTGTCTTTTAGTGTAGATGCTATGTTGAACATCTAGGCATATGTGAGTTAGTTCTATATGGCAAATTCCTGGAAACCCTGGATAAATGTTGTGTATGTCTCTGATTGAGAGATTATTCTTTTCATATGATTATCAGCCATTTGTATACTTTTGTAAGTGGCCTTTGCTAATTTTTTTAAAATTTGGCTTATCTTTTTCATATTTATTTTGTTATATTTATATATGTAGATATTAGTCTCACAAATGCCTGAAGTTACCATGGATGTAAAGTCAATGAGTAGAGGTGGGAGTTATGATGAACCAGAGAGCTACTGCCCCACCACAAGAGGGCTCCACCTTTCAGCCACAGCTGGCTATGGTATTGCCAAATGGAAGTGAGAAATGGTGTGCCAGACATGTAGATATCCTTATTTTTTTAAAATGTTGGCAGCTTACTCCATTTAAAAAACAAATAAATCAACAAAAACAAGAAAAACTGAAGACCCAAAAAGTGCAGGCTCTAGTTTTGGACTTAAAGTTTATAGCATATTCTTTTTTTAAAAAAAAATACATTATTATTAATTTCAGAGAGGAAAGGAGAAGGAGAGAGAGATAGAAACATCAATGATGGGAGAGAATCATTGATTGGCTGCCTCCTGCACAACCCCTACTGGGGATCAAGCCCACAACTCGGGGATGTGCCCTTGACTGGAATTGAACCTCGGACCCTTCAGTCCACAGGACGACACTCTATCCACTGAGCCAAACCAGCCAGGGCTATAGTATATTCTTATGAAGATATTTAAAATGTTTTGCAGTCAAATTTGTTAAGAATTCTTTGAACTTTCTATCTTACATAGGAAAGGATTCTACAAACTAAAAATATATAAAATATTCATGATCTATTCTACCTCATGACCTATTTTTTAATTTTGCCTTTTTACACTTAGATCTGAATCTGGGATTTATTTTTATTTAAGGTATAGTGTGGGGTTATAACAAGTTTTTGAAATGTCCCAGAGGCCTTAATCCTTCTCACTATGATTTGCAAAACAAGTTATTATATGCTCATTTTCTTGTTTTTAAATTGCCAGATTGGCTATTCCTGCATCAATAACACATTTTTTAAATTATAATAGTTTGGTAATCTATGAGGTGGGCAAAAGTAGGTTTACAGTTGTGAGTGACATTCTTTTGCCTTAAGAAAGCTATTGTAATAATCATAACCAGCATATCTTTTTCCATACAAATAGCTGTGAACCTACTTTTGTCCACCTACCCCTTATCTTATTTTTTGTCTAGTAAAACAAAGCCCCCTTTGTTCTGTTTTGTTTTATTTTAATTCTCTTGGCTATTTTTTGCA